ATGACAAACTAATTCATTGATAATGAAATGTGCTTGGATTTATCAAATGACAGGTTATCAAAGTCAAAAGTAGTAAGCTAGAATTAAGGTCATCTATAGTGAACTTTATTGTATGTTTGGTTACTGGATCACGTGTCCAAACTGAACCAGATCGTCTACCGATCTAATGCCGAAGACCTTGGCATTTAGATCTTTAACCATCACCTTGCCATTCGTCGTCCACGTTTGAAGGATAGCTTTAGATTTTACAAGTTGGCGCGAATGATAAGCGAGAACACTCCGCATCTTGGTGAGATCTTCATTCACTGAGATGTGCGAAAAGGAATCATTATCGCGGAATGCTTTCCTTGCCTTCAGAAGCTTGAACTTCGTATCGACTGACTTCAGACGGACGATTATTTGCCGAGGTTTAGGAGGGGATCGTACACTAGCACTATGCTGCTGACGAGGTTTACCCACACGATGAGATCTCTCAACATCGGTGGGTTGTAAGTCAATACCTGCAGCAGTAGCAGCATTCAAGACAACGGCTGTAGTATCCTCTTCGGGTGATTCCTTGAATCCAGAGAATCGAACCAGGGCTCGACGTCCATATTGCTCGACGTCGTCTATATGAAGACGTAAATCACGGTTCTCCTGTTCGAGCATATCAATACGTTGGATGAGGGGGGATACACGGGCGTTGACCTCCTGTGTAACTAAGTTAGCTATGTCCGCCTTAAGAGAAGACTTTAGAGCCACTACAATCCTGTCAATATCATTATCCGACAGCGACGATGGACTAGCACTGCCCATTGGATACGACCCAGGAAATGAACTGGGTGGGATGTAGCCCGGGGGGTAGGGATGACTAGGTGGAGTGGTATACTGAGGCTGGGGCTGAAACCCAGGTTGGCCAGGAGTAAGACTCATTGTATCTCGTAGAGTGAACACCTCAGAAAGTTCAGTTAGTTTGTGTCTCTTAGGATCCCGGGGGTGAGTGAGCCGGTCGAGGAGGAGGAGGATGAACTAACTCGATTACGTTTTTCTCCTTGAAAAGACGATACAGACATGTGTGCTAAAAGTACATATGAATTGGCAGTTTCAATATTACTAAAACAGTTCAGCGTAGATAACTGTAGGTAAATATGGACACCTACATGTTATCATCGGGATACATATACAATGGCTGCCACAGAATGCACGGGCCAGGCATGAGTACTCACTGTTCAATATGAAGGCCAAAATATAGCTACAAATTGTCAATAATGTGGCATTTTATCGCACTGTGGTATAAGGAGGCGTCTAAAAACCCGCCATTTGAATTATGGACCTCAGGACCTCGCTGAATTACCTTTTACATTTTTGTTTACCGGAGCTGTTTAGGTTGACGTCATTTCGAGGCCAGAGCGTGCATTTTGTCAGACGTTTTAACTATTAAAGTAATTCATAGACATCAGCTGTCCGTGCAAATAAAAAAAAAATGTTGAATTTTTGCACAAATTTTCATCCAGATAGTTCAAAGCAGAACACACTATTCACATAGTGAGATCTAGGTTCAAATCCTAGTCTGGATTTTTTTTTTGGCAAATTCAACGTTTTGTTTACAATACATTTAGAGCTTGACAAAACACAAAAACCTACCATGAAATTATTTCACCCCCCTTTGGTGTTATTTTTCGTAGCCTTGGATTGTCTAGCATTTTTCATACAAACAACTAAAATTAATTATTGAAAAATAACTTCATTATTTCTTGATAATTCACAGTAAATAACAATTATAAAATATACATAACTACACTCCTTACATGTGTAAGGGTGTTAAATTTAACAAAAAATATCAACCTTCCTGAATTAGCTTTTTTTAACATTTCACATTGTAACATCATGAAAGAGAGTGCATGACATTATTTAATGGCGTAAGTCAGTTAATATATCAAAACCATTGAAAATGCATAAGAGAGGTTTAAATACTGTATTTATCCGGCAATAAGCCCATGCCTGCTAATAAGCCCACCTATGTCTTTTTCATAGATTTCAAATTAAATGTCCTAAATAAACTATATCACTGTATTAAGCCCACTCCCAATTATTGATCCAATCTTAAACACTGGGCCCCTTAGCTTATTGCAGGATAAATACAGTATTTAAAGTTGTCTGTTGCTTACAACCTGTTCTTACCTTTTCGCTCATGGCTTATACTATAGCGATATGATAGTTATGTAAATATTGCCCCTCACCTTAACTTAAGATTAAACTACGAAAAAGGAAATGTCACTTTAATTGATTTTTCCTACAGATGAAAAAGACCAAAAGTTGAATTGGATGGTGAGGTGATGTTCGACAGCGACAATTCTGTTACATTGGCATTAGCAACACTAGATCACAGCTACCATATTCCAGACTGTGGGGATAACGTTGAAGTATAATGCTTTCAGTCAATCTAAACTTTCTTTTTAGATGAGTAGCAAAGAATGGAGTTTTTAGTGCAAATTTATATGTACCTAGAATATTAAGCCAATGATTTTTTTTTCAAAGTTCGAGACTTGGAAGAGGAGATTGCTTCCTTAGAAAAAGAAGTAGAAATGCTTAAGCTGAGAAAACCAAGAATGAAAATACAGGACATCATTCATGACACAGATAAGGTTAGCCTTTAAATAATTATTTCATGCTAGATTCCTCCATACCTGAGGTGAATTTTCAGTATTTTAAAGCATAAAGTTTTGTTACTTGGCAACATGAAAGATATTATTTCGCTTTTGGTTTCCATAATATGTTAGCACTATAGTATATGCAGCACATGTCTACCATTTGAAATATTTGGATGTTGGCCAAGTGACCTTATAGGATACCACAGCATCCATCATGTGCCAATTTATCCTATAAATCCCTTCTTCTCTTGAACCACAAAATCTATTTCCACCAAAATTGTTAAGAAGCATCCTTGGCTAAAATTTGGAAAAAATTTTGTATTAAGAAGGGTCTGGGCCCTTTAGAGGAAATTTAGCAAATTCTCTAAAATCTAACTTGTTTGGAAGAATATGGTCCTCCCAAAAGTAGGTCACTGTAACCTTGACTTCGACCTTTGACTTCCATAAAAGTACGTCAGGTGGGGACTGTAATTCTTGAATTATCGTCTTTGTTTTGGATATTCACTGGCATATTTATCTTTGAATCAATTCTTTCAAAAAAAAATCTACGTTAGTTAAATTGCACTTTAATTAAGGAATGACATGTATAAACTCTAAACATAACACATATCAACTTCAAAACTGAACTGATAAAAAAAAACCCAAAAAAACCCAGAACCATTCAATGAATTAAAGTGCCCCCCGCCACCTCTCCAGAGATGAAATTACATACTTAGAATACAACTGAAGTGATACATGTCAAAGGACAAAATGTTGGTCACAGTGACCTAATTCTGATATGCAACACACTGTCTCAGGAGGTGAACCATGGTGTTATTGAAAGTACTCCTACTCTTTTTAGAGTAGGAAATATAGCACGGACAGGATAATGTTTGGTGGGGATTAAAAACTAAACAAAAAATCATTTCAACACAACTGAACATAACTATGAGTCAACCTGTGAAACGTCCTAATTGTCCAAGTTTGGAGAGATGCAGATTGGTTAAAAAATCGGAATAATCCATTTGTTGTGCGATTACCGGTTTCTATGTCCAGTTGTATCAATGTTTCTGACAGGTTCTCATTTTTAACCATTATCAGATGTGGGGTTGTCAAACCGCTTCTTGTCCGTCCATCTGTTGATTTTTTTTAGCCCACCATCATCAGATGGAGGGCTGTTTAAACCGCCCCAAGTCCGTTCATCATCGAACAACTTTTGCTATTGCTATATTTCTTCAAAAACACTAGATAGATCAATTATGTGTGTAAATGTATCCTTTCCGTGGTCTATATAGTCGCCTCTATTGTGGGACTGATCCGAAAAATAAAATTACCGACAGGCAGGACAAACTTATTCTTTGATGTGAATCAAAGGTCAAAATGTAGGATAGAGTAACCTGCTTTTTAAACAAGACACAAGGTGTCGCCGAGGTGGACTCATACCCAAAGTATGGAGTTCCAGTGATAAGATGTGTTGGAGGTAGAGCCCGTACAAGATAGCAGAAGGACGAATGGACATAAACTATACACAACTGTAGTTTACTGTTAAGGGACTAATTAAGTTACATCTTCCTCCATCAGCCGTAACCAAATTTCTTCATTTCCTCTTCAACTTTACCTGGAATATCTCAATATCATATTCATTGTAAAAATCCTATTCACTGTCTTTTTACCATTTCATTCACGATTTGGAGAACTAACCAGCAATGTAGGGCTCCAAATTTTTATTTGCTTTTGAAAGAGAAAAAGAAGGGAACTTTAGTCTCTAAGGGTGGAGCTAGACCTCAGCCCCACTCCTTCCACCCCAGGAGGCAGAGTTCCACCACTTATATACAATATTGATTCCGCTTCACAAACACAATTCACACCAAATTTGGACAAAATCCAATAATTCCTACAAGTACAGTAGGATTTTAAAAGAACTTGTGCCATTTCCCCTATTCAGCCCCACTCCTCCCACCCCAGGGGGCGGAGATCCACCACTTATATACAAAATTTATTTCCCTTCACCAAAAGATACTTTGGACCAAATTTGGACAAAATCCAATCATTCCTTCAGGAGTAGGATTTTAAAGAACTTGTTCTATTTTTCCTACTGGGTTCAGCCCCATCCGGGCCAGGTGAGCTTAAAATGATAAGTTTCAAATCGAATTCATTTTCAGAAGATCCAAAACATTAGGTCTATCATTTCAAGAACAATAAGCAGCCTGAAATCAAAATTAAAAACAAGTTTCATTACTCAATCGCATACAATGTCAAAACAAACACATTTTATTAACAATTTCAGTAGACAAGTCTAATAAATAAAAACATGACAACATGTTATAATATTGTTGTCTTCTTTATATACATGAACTATATACAATGTACATATAATACATATATGTCGTAGCAAACATTAGCACAAATTTTCAGAAATATCTGTTGAAAAAAGGTCAATGAGAGAAATATGTGGTACAGATGTATTGCTGGTATGACTGTCACAAGGCTATGACTGACATGATGTACTGGAGAAACACATCATTCTGAAGGAGTACAGGGTACAGATGTATTGCTGGTATGACTGTCACGAGGCTATGACTGACATGATGTACTAAAGAAACACATCTTTCTGAAGGAGTACATGGTACATATGTACTGCTGGTATGACTGTCACGAGGCTATGACTGACATGATGTACTGGAGAAACAGATCATTCTGAAGGAGTACATGGTACAGATGTATTGTGGTGTATTGTTTGTATGAAGATCATTAGGCTATCACAGACATTTGTGTCTACTTGTGAGACACACGATTCTGAAGGACTACATGATGCAGATGTATTGCTGGTTGGAATATTACGAGGCTATGACAGGCATGAAGTACTGGAGAGACACACCATCCTGGAGAAGAAGAAAGTGAACTGTCCTGTTGTTTACAACATCTGAAAACCAAAGAAGTAAAGACATTAAAGCTGGTGCAACATGTGAAATGCTTTATGCAAGATGCTTAATGCGAAAAGTTTTGATCAAGATGTAGTTCAATAGAGGAAAATCAAAATGGAAAGGACAAAGCGTCCATGGTTGCATGTGGGCCTAGTACAGCTGTAGAGCATTCAGCATCTTAAATAACAAGGGCCTATTTCACATTTAGTATTTTTCATTCAGAACACAAAATGAATTTCACATAATGCATTTCGCAGAGAGCATTTTTTGCATATAGCATTTTGTTGAATTTTATAGAATGTCAGAAAAATAATTTACGACTAAACATGAATGTCTCTCTGAAAATATGATATTAGGAGATATTTTCTTTTGACTCTAGGCCATATCTACATTAATCCAAATTAAGGATGAAGCATTCTTTATCTCTCATAAAGCATTTGGCATAAAACAATACATATAAAGTATTGAGCAAGTCGTATCAGCTTTTCATACTGCATGAACTTCTATCTAATATCATTAATTTTTAGACAAAATATCACTCTAAAGTGAAGGTTAAATATAAGTGTTAAAGGTATAGTTCTGGCCCCACTTGTATAAAACATCTCAACTTGAGATTTCCTCAAGTCGAGATTTTCCTCAGCTGATATCTCTTCAAAAACGGTTTGTATAAAATTTTCTCAAGGAACAGGAGGAAGGCATCGGCTAGGATGTCCTGAAATTCCTTGAGGAATTTTCATACAAGATATTTTAAAGAAGATATTAGCTGAGGAAAATCTGGGCTTTAGATAATCTCAAGTTGAGATGTTTTATACAAGTGGGGCCTGAAATATAAAAAAGAGATATAGAGTAAACAGAGCCATGACTTACTACAGATCACTCGTGTGGGATTGAACTGTTGACTGGCAAGGAGCTGTGATAACTTCCGAATATCAATCCTTGTCTTAAAGAATGTGTGAGGATCCCTATCGTCCTGAGATGGGTTCATCATTGGGTCAGTACCTATGTAGGATACACATACATTGATTACTGGTAATTATAAATATTATTATAAATAACATACATGTACAAAGTTAAACCTACCACAAATGTGACATATCATGTAATTTTATTATCCATTATCTTCAATGGCTCTGTGGTTCTGGTAAAATGTAGCTCTGTATGTTCCATCAATGTGATTTAATTTTAAAACTTTCTGAGAATGAACTTGAGAAATGATATGCTCACATGGACCAGATAATGCAGCATTTTACATTAAAAACAGAATATTTTTGTTATCGTTGGGTCTCTTGGTAACTTCAAAATGGTGGGTATGATATAAAGCAGAGTTTAGGTCCAAAGTAAGTTAACTGAGGTAAATGACTTATCAGACAAAGTGATGACAATCTCCTGACTTATCAGACAAAGTGATAACAATCGCCTGACTTATCAGACAAAGTGATAACAATCTCCTGACTTATCAGACAAAGTGATGACAATCTCCTGACTTATCAGACAAAGTGATAACAATCGCCTGACTTATCAGACAAAGTGATGACAATAGCCTGACTTATCAGACAAAGTGATGACAATATCTTGACTTATCAGACAAAGTGATGACAATCACCTGACTTATCAGACAAAGTGATAACAATCGCCTGACTTATCAGACAAAGTGATAACAATCGCCTGACTTATCAGACAAAGTGATAACAATCGCCTGACTTATCAGACAAAGTGATAACAATCACCTGACTTATCAGACAAAGTGATGACAATATCCCAACTTATCAGACAAAGTGATAACAATCTCCTGACTTATCAGACAAAGTGAGGCAACCTCCTGACTTATCAGACAAAGTGAGGCAACCTCCTGACTTATCAGACAAAGTGATAACAATCGCCTGACTTATCAGACAAAGTGAGGCAACCTCCTGACTTATCAGACAAAGTGATAACAATCACCTGACTTATCAGACAAAGTGATGACAATATCCCAACTTATCAGACAAAGTGATAACAATCACCTGACTTATCAGACAAAGTGATGACAATATCTTGACTTATCAGACAAAGTGATGACAATCACCTGACTTATCAGACAAAGTGATAACAATCGCCTGACTTATCAGACAAAGTGAGGCAACCTCCTGACTTATCAGACAAAGTGATAACAATCACCTGACTTATCAGACAAAGTGATTTATCAGACAAAGTGATGACAATGATCAATCTGACTTATCAGACAAAGTGATAACAATCAGACAAAGTGATCCTGACTTATCAGACAAAGTGATGACAATGATGACAATCTCCTGAAGACAAAGTGATAACTCCCTGACTTATCAGACAAAGTGATAACAATCGCCTGACTTATCAGACAAAGTGATGACAATCTCCTGACTTATCAGACAAAGTGATAACAATCGCCTGACTTATCAGACAAAGTGATAACAATCTCCTGACTTATCAGACAAAGTGATGACAATCTCCTGACTTATCAGACAAAGTCATAACAATCACCTGACTTATTAGACAAAGTGATGACAATCTCCTGACTTATCAGACAAAGTGAGGCAATCAGACAAAGTGATAACACTTATCAAAGTGATGTGACTTATCAGACAAAGTGATAACAATCGCCTGACTTATCAGACAAAGTGATAACAATCACCTGACTTATCAGACAAAGTGATGACAATATCTTGACTTATCAGACAAAGTGATGACAATCACCTGACTTATCAGACAAAGTGATAACAATGACAAAGTTATCAGACAAAGTGATGACAATCAGACAAAGTGATGACCTGACTTATCAGACAAAGTGATGACAATCACCTGACTTATCAGACAAAGTGATAACAATCGCCTGACTTATCAGACAAAGTGAGGCAACCTCCTGACTTATCAGACAAAGTGATAACAATCGCCTGACTTATCAGACAAAGTGATGACAATCTCCTGACTTATCAGACAAAGTCATAACAATCACCTGACTTATTAGACAAAGTGATGACAATCGCCTGACTTATCAGACAAAGTGATGACAATCGCCTGACTTATCAGACAAAGTCATAACAATCACCTGACTTATTAGACAAAGTGATGACAATCGCCTGACTTATCAGACAAAGTGATAACAATCGCCTGACTTATCAGACAAAGTGATGACAATCGCCTGACTTATCAGACAAAGTGAGGCAACCTCCTGACTTATCAGACAAAGTGATAACAATCTATCAGACAAAGTGATGACAATTGCCTGACTTATCAGACAAAGTGATAACAATCACCTGACTTATCAGACAAAGTGATGACAATATCCCAACTTATCAGACAAAGTGATAACAATCTCCTGACTTATCAGACAAAGTGAGGCAACCGACAAAGTGATAACAATCTCCTGACTTATCAGACAAAGTGATAACAATCTCCTGACTTATCAGACAAAGTGAGGCAACCTCCTGACTTATCAGACAAAGTGATAACAATCTTGTGACTTATCAGACAAAGTGATGACAATCTCCTGACTTATCAGACAAAGTGATAACAATCGCCTGACTTATCAGACAAAGTGATAACAATCTCCTGACTTATCAGACAAAGTGATAACAATCTCCTGACTTATCAGACAAAGTGATGACAATCTCCTGACTTATCAGACAAAGTCATAACAATCACCTGACTTATTAGACAAAGTGATGACAATCGCCTGACTTATCAGACAAAGTGATGACAATCGCCTGACTTATCAGACAAAGAGATGACAATCTCCTGACTTATCAGACAAAGTCATAACAATCACCTGACTTGTCAGACAAAGTGATAACAATCTCCTGACTTATCAGACAAAGTGATAACAATCTCCTGACTTATCAGACAAAGTGATGACAATCTCCTGACTTATCAGAAAAAGTGATGACAATCTCCTGACTTATCAGACAAAGTGATGACAATTGCCTGACTTATCAGACACAATACTAACCTACAACAGACAGCTTCACTGTCAGGTACATTTCTTATTCATCTCGGTTAAATACCACTTATATGCAATCTTCACAGTACAATCTAAATTTCAATTCAATTCCGTACAGCTGGTAATTTTTACAAGTCATGATTTTCTAAGAAGACGATCATATAAAATAACTAATGAAAATTTTGCCATCAGGATATAAAAGTTGATCTAAAACATGTGTCTCACTATTTTGTGGATTTGATTTTCATGGTTGTGTTAATGTACTCTGAAATAGCGAAAATTTCATCACAAAAAGAATTGGCAATACAGTATCTCCGTTCATCAAAGAGCAAATCTGTGGAAACCAAATTATATCAGAATGAAGTAAAAAGGCAAGTACTATACGCCTTGACCATTTCTTAAAATATTTAGTAGAATCAATGGAAATTACCCTATCACTCCATGTTTCTACTGTACATGAAAAGTGATAAAGTGACTGTCTTACATCAAAGTGTGGAAGTTCGGGCTCCTCAAAGTCTGTCCAGAGGCGGCGTGGTATGACTGTGACCGGGATGTCATGCACTACAGTACGAGAGTGGGCACTCAGGGTAGGCTGCAAAGATCAAGACAACAATCATTTTTAATAATATGAATTGTTATTTATTGTCATATCATAACAACATGTACACTACATGCAGTTATATGTCTCCTTTGTCCTGTTTTGTTAGTAAGGTTATCTTTTAAGCAAAATGCAAAATACACTGACATTTTAATTCATGACCTTTCCCCTGGTGAATGAATGATATTAAATACTTACTAGGTCAACCTCCACTGTCAGACATGGAGTGTGTTTCTTTGTTAGCTTGATCTTTAGCCACTTAGCACTCTGCGCTGTCTTTAGAGCCTTCATCAAGTTCTCTGGGGCAAGCTCCAAGAAAATTTCATTATCTTCCTCAGAAACACCTTCCATTGCATATTCGTCAAAAAAATGTCCCTGAAATGAAATTATAATCATAATATTAATACAGAAGAAATTCTAGCACATGTAGTGCCACATAGTAAAAATGCTGACAAATTGATCATTTGAATAGCCATTAAAGGTGACCTTGACCCAGAACTTCCATTTAAACTTTGACTCTAATGCCAAATCATTCATGTGGTTTAAACAGCAGGCATTTCATTTGAAATTATGGAATTTAAGCTAAGAGTCAAGGGTAAAACTTTAGCAACAGGAAATACAACCTTACAAACCTGTATTGATTTTTACCTGTAAATGATGCAAACTTGAATAATAAAGTTTTTTTTTTATCACTGCATATGTACCTGAGGAAGTTCACTCCAAATCTGTATTCCTCCATTCACAGCTCGCTCAGACAAAATGAAGTACCAGTTTCCAGATGTTATTCGCAGCACACAGGTTCTGATCAGCTTGGACAATGTCCCTACTATTCCTAGAAAATACACAACACAGTACTGTAACATCAGACAGGGTCCTGCAAAGTGTCGGACCCTAAACTTGTACCATATATGTTCAGTTACTGTATTCTGATAAGCGACTGTTTGGGTAATTATCCCATTCAATTACCTCTACCTACAGTAATTTTCACTCACAAAATAATTGTAGCTTTCACTAAATTACAACAGAAAGGATATCTTTAAGAAAATGATCATGTAAGTAAAAGAGGTCGTTACTTATTTCAATGGCTCCGCTAGGATTTGAACCAAAGACGCTCAAGCTAATGAGAAGTTCTCTCTGACTGAGCTGGTATTTACTAAGGTTATGTGTATAGTTAAGATTCAAACCTCTGACCTCTGGTTTACTAGTCTTAAGCTTAACTGATAGAGCTTAAGATTGTACAAAAGAAACAAGAGAATAGCACATTTTTGTAATTTAGAGTGAAATACGGTGGAGCCAAACAATGAACTAAATTGACTTGTCAATGATGCTAAGGGCCTAAATTTTGAAGCCCAGGAGGCAACCAAGGAAAATCCAAAGTGATCAAAAGTATATTCAAAATCTAGAGAGGGAGGTGCAGCAGTGCCATAATTAAATAAATTTCATAATTTGATTATCATTTTACCAATGTTTTCAGGGGTTACAGCAATATCTGTTAAGGGGCAGTGCTAAGTCTTGTTTCATTCCCTTGAGTTCCCTACATTGGTGCCACTGTAACAGAGGCTATCATTTATTTCAATGCCTGTACTAGGATTCGAACTTAGAACCTCTGAGTTACTAATTATTAGATTCTGATCTTACACAAAACTGACAGAGCCACTGAGATGATATTTAGCGGAGCAGTATATTACGGTTATATGCCTCCTTTGTCCTGTTTTGTTAGTAAGGTTATCTTTTAAGCAAAATGCAAAATACACTGACATTTTAATTCATGTCTGTGTCACACACAGAACTTGAGATCGTGATGAGAATACGTTAGATTTCAAGCGCCTGTGACAAACGTAACAAAATATCGCAACTTCACTACAAGGCCCTGTGTAAGGGCCTGATCCTAAATCAATTTACTTGTAAAATGTTGAATACAGCCAATGTCGACGATTTTCCCTCTAAACCTCATTCTGAGAATCTATTTGCAGGACCTGAATTATATGACATGACGAGTGATAACACTAAATCCAACTTAACAGTTCTCTTCGTGCTCTCCCGCCATGAGGCCTTACTAAATTCTGGTCAATAATGACCTACTTCATTCCGGAAACGATAAATAGGATTTTGCCTTCACCGATTTATAAGTCAATCATGCAATATATATAATATTATTTCAACAGTATCTTATTTTTGTAGTGACATCATATGACTTTGATAATCTTAATATTATTATGTAGGAAATTACGGATATTTATAAATTTTGATTTCGCGAAAGACCTTTTACAATGAAAATCAAAACACTTGAATGACACAGATCAAGCGTCACTCGCGGTGTAAACAAAATGTTGATTTTGCCATAGAAAATATAAAAGTTTCAATTTCAATATGTCAAGGTACGCGAGTCCCGATCGGGACAAGCGAATCCTTAATCTAGCTGGAGAAATAGCAGATACGAAGGACAGACGCGTTCCAATTCTCTTACTGAGTCTGAAAGGTGAGTTATCACTCAATCCAAACATGTTCTGTCAGGTTTTCGGCTGGTTTACAACAATATTTTACTCACTGTTTACTCATCATGCAGTACTCGACAGTAGTTCTAGATATATAAAATCACATATACCTCGTCAGTATGAATAGTCTTGTTTTCCCTATTTTACACCGACTGTTATATAGATAAAAATATATTTAAAAAGTAGATTCACTCGCTATGAAACGTAACTTATCCGGTCCTTTTAACTGTTTGAATAAAATATAAGAATGTGTTGATGCTGTTCTGGAGCTTTGGCAGAATAATAAAAAGATTGGATATATACATTTTGCTTGTGTATCATTCTCGTAGAAAAGCATACATATGTAGCAGGAGTAAAGGCTTAAGCAGACCGGATTTCAAACCTTCGTCTCCTCTGACATATTGACAAATGCTCTATCAATTGAGCTACACATGCCTGATCGCTGACAATCGACCCTGCCCAGTACTACTAAATTCCACCCTCCTCTTTAATTTTGAAGTCTTTCCCCCATAGACACAATCATGCGTACTTGAAACAAGGGTGTGTCACAGGCACCAGTTCGTAAAAAGAATAAAAAATGCCTGGCAAGTTCAGGATCAAACTCAGGATCAACCAAACTCCAGATGGATGATTAAGTTATTTTAAGGTGGATGCAAGGGAGGAGAGAAAACCTAGAGATTACACAGGTTTATGGTAGTTTTGTAAGAATGTCAGCCCATTTTTTTTATTTGTCTATAAACTATTAATTATAGATTACAGAATAAGAATATTTTCCAAATGTTTCATCATAAAAATGCAGATAGAGTAGTTGTCAAAATTCCATTTATGTATCTTTTTGAAATAAATTTTAGATGTGTTCTGTAATCAATTGATATCAGCAGAGACATATGATACATTATGTATTATAAGTCCCTGATATCAGATATTTCCATTTCTTGCCGCAGACGTTAACATCTTGAGGATGTCTCTCACTACTTACTTGTACAGTATTTGATAGGATTTACAATTAATCTGTCTTTCAGTAGAAATGCCAGTGACTATAGGTCTTACTTGTAACCCTGTTGTCTTGCAACATTATCAGCACAAAATACATATACATGATCTCAACAACATCAGATTTTTAGGATATCAGGTCGTAATCAAGGGAATTTCAGAATAGCAAGAGCCTAGTCACTTACAAACTAGCATGTTAATTGCCAGACCATCATGTAATCATACCAGCCTGTATATTTGTTTAGGATTTTTTATATACTGAGAGGATTAGATAATTAGATTAGATCACCCATATATCATCAGGAATAATGATGAAGATTGATGAAACTATGGCTAGTAAGCCTATAAGTTTCAGGATGAGCTCTCATGTGGACATACCAGTTTAACCCCCCCCCCCTCCCCCACCCCCCAAAAAAATAAATAAATAAAAAAAAAATAAAGAAAATATAACAAGGTTGTCACTGTCTTCATTAGCAGCAAATGGTGCTGGCAAGAATATATACAACAAGTGATTTTCCTAATTATGTATATGGTTTGTTGACAGCTCTCACTAATTTCTTTGAATTGATATTTTACAGGAATATTAAGTTCTGTTCCTGTTGGCTCAAAAGAAGCAATCAAGTTCAGACAAGAGATTTGGGACTACAACCTCCTCCATGTCCTCATTCTGGTATTAAAGCAAGACTTCAGCATTGTAGATAATGACTGGCAGACAGCAGCATCACTCGCAGCTATCCTCAGGTAATGTACCACAAGGTTGGAAGACCAGCAGATCAGTTTATATACTACACTGTGGTAGATCGTGTCAGAAAAGGGAGACAATTGTGTCCCTTGCTGCTGTCTTCAGGTAATGTACGGCAATGTTAGGAGACCAGCAGCTCTGTTTATATATACACTACACTGTGGTAGATCATGTCAGACAAAGGGAGACAACTATGTCCCTTGCCGCTGTCCTCAGGTAATGTACCACATTGTTGGGAGACCAGCAGCTCTGTCTATATGATACACTTTAGTAGATGGTGTTAGACAAGGGAGACAACTGTGTCTTTGGCTGCTGTCCTCAGGTAATGTAGCACAATGTTTGGAGACCAGCTGCTCTATCTGTATACTACCAAAACATTGTAGTCTTTACTAGTAAAAATCTAAAGCTTTGAGTTTCTTTGTTTACTCTAAGATGGTAGCTTAATCTCAAAGACTGTCTTGTTTATATTTGCAGCCAAGTTTGTGCTGGCATGGAACTCAAGGGGCAAGCCAGGAACAAGTTTGAGACAGAGAGTCTTCCTGAGGCCATCAACAACCTATTCCTTCTGGCACGCAGGATACAGACTCGATATTCCAAAGTGCCAAATGTCACAGTAAGTTATGGGTGAAACACTATCAGCTGATTCTTTGAGGTAAAGCTGGACATTGAATGTAGAATTTTTGGAAAACCATAAAATGGACAAGAATTTTTTATTTTAACTGTAGTAATTTTTGTTTAGAGTCGAATTACCAGAAGATGTTTTGTAACACCTAAATAAACTACACACTTATTACACACAAGCTTATCATACACCACAGTTTTAGTGGCATTGCTTGTCTTTCTCCTTTTCCTCATCAAACAATTAGTTGGATTTTATTTGTTTACAACACTTGAGGTTTATTATCATTGTCAACATGTTGTCATAAATAGTTTTCAATTATAAAATTATGTATACTGGTAATTGAGTTCAATATTTCAAAAGTGGCCATGGCATTTATTTTCTTCCATACTTTATTTTTTTTCTGTAATTTGTTCCTGTCTGTATTGTAATTAGTCTATAACATGTGGTATTATTTTGAGTTCATGGTAACTAACAGTAATTTCGTTTTCACCTTATTAGGCAATACAGAAAGAGCGACAGCGATTAATGGTGTGTTACAGGGGAGTGTTGGAATCTATTACGTACATAGCTTCTGGTCATGTTGCTATCTGTAGGAATGGTAGGTCATTATCAGGCACTGAATGAATAACTTATTGTTGAGGAATAAAATTTAAACAAGCAGTATTGCATTGTTTTTTTAATAAATTGCAACGTTGTGATTGAAGTGTGGTGAAGTATTTAAGAACATTGCAGATAATGTGCAGTTTATATTTTACAGCATTTACAAAATTATTTTGTAACAGCTAGTTTAATTATCATATTGTTTATCATAGGTTCATTAAAAGTGTAAAATTTATATGAAATTCGCTTTACATAATTATTCATATTTTCCCAACAATATATGGACTAGAAATACAATAGAATGTAGATATTAAAGAGATTTATTATACTTAACAGGATAACTTAAGAGCTATACAGTTTTATAACTAATGAGTGCAGAAAGTTTTTTTTTATGAAGGAACAATTTTTTGTTTTTAGTGATCGAGTCGCCATGGTTATTACAGCTGCTGATATCAGATGATGCTGACACTGTTGCAGGAGTGATGGATCTTCTTCCCAAAATTCTTAGGGTCAATCGGTACATATTAATGTTTCTTCTCAAAGTGTGTGCTTGTTTTTGTCACAGTATTTAAAGAGACTGATGGCTATTGGTTCTTTAATTCTATTTGTTCATATCGGCTTTAGCTTTAGCTGTGTAGTGCCCTCCTTAGTCACAAAAGTGCCAAGTTTCTGTTAGCCGTGTACATGTATATGATACAAATATTCCTATTTGTAGTTTTTTGTTCATTGTTATAGTGAAAAAGAAATTGATCATTTGCATGCTTTCCCGATTTCTTGATGTCTTAATAATTTGATGTTATTTTATTACAAGATTGTGGATGATGAATATCTAGCTTATATGAAAAATTGCCAAAATAAATTTGATTTGATTATGCAAGTATTTTTAAGTAGTGGTTAATCCGACAAACTGATAAGTTCCCGTGTTAATGTAATATATACTGTTACGATTTTTTTGATGGCTGTGTTAGGAGACATGTATGTTTTGATGGCTGTGCTAGGAGACATGTATGTTTTGTTGGCTGTGCTAGGAGACATGTATGTTTTGATGGCTGTGCTAGGAGACATGTATGTTTTGATGGCTGTGTAAGGAGACATGTATGTTTTGATGGCTGTGTTAGGAGACATGTATGTTTTGATGGCTGTGTTAGGAGACATGTATGTTTTGATGGCTGTGCTAGGAGACATGTATGTTTTGTTGGCTGTGTTAGAAGACATGTATGTTTTGATGGCTGTGTAAGGAGACATGTATATGTTTTGTTGGCTGTGTAAGGAGACATGTATATGTTTTGTTGGCTGTGTAAGGAGACATGTATGTTTTGTTGGCTGTGTAAGGAGACATGTTTGTTTTGATGGCTGTGTTAGGAGACATGTATGTTTTGATGGCTGTGTTAGGAGACATGTATGTTTTGTTGGCTGTGTTAGGAGACATGTTTGTTTTGATGGCTGTGTTAGGAGACATGTATGTTTTGATGGCTGTGTTAGGAGACATGTATGTTTTGATGACTGTGTTAGGAGACATGTAATGTTTTGATGGCTGTGTTAGGAGACATGTATGTTTTGTTGGCTGTGTTAGGAGACATGTATGTTAAGTGAAGTTTGGTTTATGTTACAGGAAACTACTAAAGGAGTTGAACCCTAAACTTGTCAATAGTATTATGGATGAACTGGTGTATAAGTTATCAGTCAACAATGAAGTTCCCATTGGAGCGTAAGTTGATATATTAAGGGTCATTTCATTTTTTATTTCAGAATATCATCCGTGAACTGTCTTTCTATGTAATTCAGCCTTTTGTGAAGACATTTTCCTTTTCAAAAACCATACATTGTTAGCCAGACCTCATCAGACGGTGGAATTTTCAAATCGCCCTTCATCTGTGGTCAATCCATCCTTAAACAATCCTTGTCATCACTATTTCTCATAAAGTTATGAAGGACATTTGTCAAATTTTATATACGCATTTCCCTTGGTTCCTTCTGCCCACTATATTTTGAGAGTGATCCGGTAAACGAAATTTTAGATATTGGGCTATTTCTAGATATTTCTGAAACTTAATGCATGTGTTCTCCTTGGTCCTCAGTTGTGCCCATGTAATTGTGAATCTGATCAGGAACAACTGACAAAAAATTTACAATTTCAGTTTTTTATTGCCACTTCTTGAGAAGTACTTGAAAGATATTTTCTGAAAAAAAATGATGTGTGGGTTCCTCATAGCCCCTAGTTTTGCCACTTTTTAATTTGAGACTGGTCAGAAGAAAAACAAAAATGTCCTGGAGGCAGTCATCATGGATTTTAACAAAGAAGGTTTGTTATTGTTGTTTCTCAAATATTACATGCAGGTTTCCCTTGTTTCCTAATTGTGTATTTTTCACTTTGGGACTGATCAGAAAAGCAAAACAGAAGCCCATCATAGATTCTCACAATGGAAGTTTGTCATCTCTTTTTTCTTTAGAACGGATGGATCTCTTTTTCAAATTTCATATGTAGATTCCCAGTAGTCCCTAGTTGTGCCATTTTAATTTTGGGATTGATCAAGAAAACAAAATGGCCTACAGGTGACCATCTTTGATTTTGCAAGATCAAACAATGGTGAGCATTAAGATCCCTTGGGGATCTCTTGTAATGCTTAGGGTATATAAGCTTACTTGAAGTAATCAGCCATTACAGATGTGACTTTACCATCCATCTGTCAGTAACTCTGGGCCATGAATTGTAAACCCTCAGCAAAAATTCCTGTTAAAGACCAATTATTTGGGGTGATTATCATTCTTCATATTTTGGGTTTTTTTTTTTTAATTAAAGTTTTTGAGGGCTTGTTGGGTGTGGGGCTGCATAATATTGTATGAAATGCTTTTATTATGAGGTTGATGTGCAAAAATAACTGTGATTGAGTTTTTTAGTGAATTTGTTGCGACAAATTTAGATTCAGATAAATATGGGTTGTTATTTACATTGATTTGCTTATTATTTCAGCGCAGCAACAAAGTGTGTGCTGAGAATTTGTGATTTTTACAAGCCTATGGTAGATACCTTATGTACAAGATACAGGTAAGTAATGTTTTCATATGGGTAATTTGATGAAAATGTTGAGGTTGGATTTGTCGAGTAAACACCCTGCTATTTGTTACTTATTTAGCAGTATTGTTATAAGGGTTGTGTTGTGATAGTTATTTAACAATGTGGTTTTTGTTATACTGGGCTTATTAAAGTGCTTACATGTGAAGATTGCCTTGATATGGTTGTATTACAGAGGAGTGAGACCACTGCTGGGGAAATGGGAGGGAAAAGGCTTCGGCAAGGATCTGAAAGACCTCACTATGTTGCTACAGGCAGGCAATGCACAGATGGCAGAATTAGAGGTACGGACCAATCTTAATACATTATCATGTTCAGAAATCAGGAACACTGGGTGCAATTTCACACTAACTTGACTTCATAAGGAATTTGAGCTTTACTCACTCATCACATACATAGTAGATTGTATTAGTGATAACTTGTGATCAGTGATTAGACATTATTTATCACACACCTGGTAACTCCCCTTATGTCGGTGTAATAAAGCTTCGATAATGTATTTTTGATATTACATTAATGTAATATAACTTTGTCGAGCTGTGATTGGCTGAAGGTTCCCATTGTTTTGATTGTGAATTAATCACAGCATAAGCTGTGACATTACCAAAGAAAGAGATATGGAGTCCAAATATCACAGTTTTGACTCGTATCAGCCTAATAACATGCTTATTTCATGAATGTTTGCAAAGTATCTCAGTTATGTGATAAACAGAATCTTACATTTGTTTCCATTTCATTTGAGATTTATGAATTTTGGAATTTTAAGTATATTGAATCAATCAAAGTAATGACAAGGAGGTGATATTAAAGACAAATTTGTTTCAGCAAGACATGTTGTACTGTTTCCAATTCCTTGCAGCAATTGACTCGAGCAGCAGTTATCATCCAAACAAGATGGCGTAGTTACATTACCAGAGTGAAGTTACAGAAAGCCAACAAAGCATTTACAAAATTCCATAGGACGTACAGGTAAGGATTTCTTATACGATGGCTGATTGATCAGTTGTGAGCTTTGTATGGAAGAAGCTATGCAAGGAATATACTTTTTCAGCACTACTATTCTCTGACTCTTTAAGGCTGTGTACTAGTGTCATTTTGTAAGTTTATGACAAAAAGGTGGCACTCTAAAATAAACAAGGCAAACTACCTTTTGCGAAATGGAAAAAAATGGCTGAAAGAGCAGTGGTTCAATATTTGCATAAGAAAGGTTTAGCATGTAAAGGTATCCATACTGATATGATAGTAACACTGGGAATGACACCTGTCCTGGAAAGGCCAGTCATTGTTGAAACCACTGATATTGTTATGACTGACAGGTAAGTCACAGAGAGAGATATATAGTCAGTACAGTTGGGATTTTACAGGGAAGAGTATATTCCATTCTTCCTGCACTGAGAAGCACACCAGGCAAACTTTGTCGCATGCTAAACTGAACCTTTTTGAGGCAGATAATGCTAACTTTCTGTAGAGGTGCATGTCAGTGGATGAAATATGGGTCCATCATTTTACACCAGAGGCAAACAACAGTCTAAATGGAACCACCCTGGTTCACCCCCGTCAGAGAAGGCAAAGGCTGTTCCATCAGCTGGAAAGGTTATGACCTAGACTTTCTGGGATGCTAATGGTGCTCTGATGGTAGATTATCTGCAGAGAAGAAAAACAATCAATGGCACATATTATGCATCACTTGTTAGGCAGTAATGAGAAAATGTTAAACTCAAGCACCGTGGAAAACTCAGTAACGGTGTGTTGTTCCACCAGGACAATGCCCCTGTTTGCAAGTCTGTCTTTGCCATGGCTGCCATTAATGATTGTGGCTTTAAATTGATTGAACATCCACTTTATTCACTTTTTTCTCATTCCATCAGACTTTCATCTATTTCCAAAATTGAAAAGGACCATGCAGTGGAGATATTTCAGAACGGTCAAGAAAAAGGCTTCTTTAAAAGTGGCATTGAGGTTTATAAACAATGCTGACAAAATGTATCAATGCTGAACGGGATTATGTTGAAATATAATGCAATATGCCTGTCAAACCATTAAATATGAGACTCACAACTTATCAATTAGCATTTGTACATAAACTCAACCTTGTTCTATTGAAATTATTTAAGAGATACAGGTAAATATTTCTTATATCTAAATCTCATCCTGTAAGTATTTTTGTGTTCATGGACACTGAGACAATATTTCTTTCCATGCTGAGATTTGTTTTTATAAATATAGAATTTACATTTCAGGAAAAAGAAAACTATGATGGAGAAAAGAAAAGAGCAAGCAAAGGAAGCTATGGAGCTCCAACGTCAACTGAAGCTAAATCGCCAGAGAATCATGAGGGACTTTAAGGAAAAACAGCTCCAATCTATAGAAATCCTTCCTGCTGGTGAGTCAGTGTATAGCATAGCCTAACTAGTAAATGTGTTTTACTGCTATCAGAATTTTCACATTGTATGGCAGCCCCGTCAGACTGGTGAGTCAGTGTATAACATTGAATAGCCTAGTAAATGTGTTTTACTGCTATCAGAATTTTGACATTGTATGGCAGCCCCGTCAGACTGGTGAGTCAGTGTATAACATTGAATAGCCTAGTAAATGTGTTTTACTGCTATCAGAATTTTGATATTGTATGGCAGCCCTGTCAGACTGGTGAGTCAGTGTATAACATTGGATAGCCTAGTAAATGTGTTTTACTGCTATCAGAATTTTGACATTGTATGGCAGCCACGTCAGACTGGTGAGTCAGTGTATAACATCTGAATAGCCTAACCAGTAAATGTGTTTTACTGCTATCAGAATTTTGACATTGTATGGCAGCCACGTCAGACTGGTGAGTCAGTGTATAACACTGAATAGCCTAACCAGTAAATGTGTTTTACTGCTATAAGATTTTTGACATTGTATGGCAGCCCCGTCAGACTGGTGAGTCAGTGTATAACATGAATAGCCTAGTAAATGTGTTTTACTGCTATCAGAATTTTGACATTGTATGGCAGCCCTGTCAGACTGGTGAGTCAGTGTATAACATTGAATAGCCTAGTAAATGTGTTTTACTGCTATCAGAATTTTGACATTGTATGGCAGCCCCGTCACATTGAATAGCCTAGTAAATGTGTTTTACTGCTATCAGAATTTTGACATTGTAAGCCACGTCAGACTAGCCTAACCAGTAAATGTGTTTTACTGCTATAAGATTTTTGACATTGTATGGCAGCCCCGTCAGACTGGTGAGTCAGTGTATAACACTGAATAGCCTAGTAAATGTGTTTTACTGCTATCAGAATTTTGACATTGTATGGCAGCCCTGTCAGACTGGTGAGTCAGTGTATAACATTGAATAGCCTAGTAAATGTGTTTTACTGCTATCAGAATTTTGACATTGTATGGCAGCCACGTCAGACTGGTGAGTCAGTGTATAACACTGAATAGCCTAACCAGTAAATGTGTTTTACTGCTATCAGAATTTTGACATTGTATGGCAGCCCCGTCAGACTGGTGAGTCAGTGTATAACACTGAATAGCCTAGTAAATGTGTTTTACTGCTATCAGAATTTTGACATTGTATGGCAGCCACGTCAGACTGGTGAGTCAGTGTATAACATTGGATAGCCTAGTAAATGTGTTTTACTGCTATCAGAATTTTGACATTGTATGGCAGCCACGTCAGACTGGTGAGTCAGTGTATAACACTGAATAGCCTAACCAGTAAATGTGTTTTACTGCTATAAGATTTTTGACATTGTATGGCAGCCCCGTCAGACTGGTGAGTCAGTGTATAACACTGAATAGCCTAGTAAATGTGTTTTACTGCTATCAGAATTTTGACATTGTATGGCAGCCCTGTCAGACTGGTGAGTCAGTGTATAACATTGAATAGCCTAGTAAATGTGTTTTACTGCTATCAGAATTTTGACATTGTATGGCAGCCCTGTCAGACTGGTGAGTCAGTGTATAACATTGGATAGCCTAGTAAATGTGTTTTACTGCTATCAGAATTTTGACATTGTATGGCAGCCACGTCAGACTGGTGAGTCAGTGTATAACACTGAATAGCCTAACCAGTAAATGTGTTTTACTGCTATAAGATTTTTGACATTGTATGGCAGCCCCGTCAGACTGGTGAGTCAGTGTATAACACTGAATAGCCTAGTAAATGTGTTTTACTGCTATCAGAATTTTGACATTGTATGGCAGCCCTGTCAGACTGGTGAGTCAGTGTATAACATTGAATAGCCTAGTAAATGTGTTTTACTGCTATCAGAATTTTGACATTGTATGGCAGCCCTATCAGACTGGAGAGTCAGTGTATAACATTGGATAGCCTAGTAAATGTGTTTTACTGCTATCAGAATTTTGACATTGTATGGCAGCCACGTCAGTTCAGTGGTGCATTCTTTACACTTTCCTTTGTGTTATATTTCACAGCCAAAGTGGAGGGTTACATACAGAAGGAGGAGTCTAATGCAGCAGTCACCATACAGAGGATGTGGCGTGGTCATCATGTACGAAAATCCAACAAAGAGCGGATAGACATGGCCAAGCAGGTCAAAGCAGCTATCAAGATACAGCAAGCGGTGAGAACACAAATTCAAACTAAATTTATAGTTAATATGAATATCCCATAGCGTGGGGTATGTACTGTTATGTGATTGTGACCTCGACATTGAGAGTCTGTTTTCCATCAACACTACATGACATGACACATGCATTATTTCCTGATGTATCAAGAAAACACTTTTACATGACAGGTTAAAATATGGCTGGAAAGATTGGAAAAGAGAAAGAAAAAGATCCGAGCAGAATTAAAGCCACCTGGGTTAAATGAACTGAGACGAGTGGAGCTACAGAAAGAAATTCGTGCATACAGAGAGGAAAATCCTGTAAGTTGGTATTTGTTAAAAATGTGTTGTGGAAAATTGATCAATTTTACAATCCATTGTCTTAATTATTGCATATCTCAATGACACCCCATATATGTATATCTTAATCATGTACGTCGGTTAAAATCATGTTTGTTACTAAACCTATCAGTCAAAACTAGGCATATACTAAATAAATACTTCGCAAATGCTAATCAGTAAAGAATTTCGCAAATACTAATCAGTAAAAACTCAGCAAATACTAATCTGTAAAAACTCAGCAAATACTAATCTGTAAAAACTCAGCAAATACTAATCTGTAAAAACTTGGCAAATACTAATCTGTAAAAACTCAGCAAATACTAATCTGTAAAAACTTGGCAAATACTAATCTGTAAAAACTCAGCAAATACTAATCTGTAAAAACTTGGCAAATACTAATCTGTAAAAACTCAGCAAATACTAATCTGTAAAAACTTGGCAAATACTAATCTGTAAAAACTCAGCAAATACTAATCTGTAAAAACTTGGCAAATACTAATCAGTAAAAACTCAGCAAATACTAATCAGTAAAAACTTGGCAAATACTAATCTGTAAAAACTCAGCAAATACTATTCTGTAAAAACTTGGCAAATACTAATCTGTAAAAACTCAGCAAATACTAATCTGTGAAAACTCAGCAAATACTAATCAGTAAAAACTTGGCAAATACTAATCTGTAAAAACTCAGCAAATACTATTCTGTAAAAACTCAGCAAATACTAATCTGTAAAAACTCAGCAAATACTATTCTGTGAAAACTCAGCAAATACTAATCAGTAAATATTTCGCAAATACTAATCTGTAAAAACTCAGCAAATACTAATCTGTAAAAACTCAGCAAATACTAATCTGTAAAAACTCAGCAAATACTAATCTGTAAAAACTCAGCAAATACTAATCTGTAAAAACTCAGCAAATACTAATCTGTAAAAACTTGGCAAATACTAATCTGTAAAAACTTGGCAAATACTAATCAGTAAAAACTCATCAAAAAATAAACAGTATGAACTTGGCAAATACTAATCTGTAAAAACTCAGCAAATACTAATCTGTAAAAACTTGGCAAATACTAATCTGTAAAAACTCAGCAAATACTATTCTGTAAAAACTTGGCAAATACTAATCTGTAAAAACTTGGCAAATACTATTCTGTAAAAACTTGGCAAATACTAATCTGTAAAAACTTGGCAAATACTAAGTGGAAATAATGTTCCTAATTATGCTTAAGATCAATTATCTACATAAGCTTTACTGATTATTTTGTTTGTAATCAAAAATTTCATAATTGTACCTCTGAATTAGACCATTAGCATATTAACAGAATATGTATAGATGTAGTACCTGGGAATTCATGATTCTTACATAAAATCTACTCTGATAGGCACGTTACTGCCAGAAGGAAGACTTAGAGATGATTCATAACAAAGCCTCGGAGATGTTGGCTAGATACTACATGACTGCACGTCCAAACAGGGAGAAACAGACCCACAGAGAGGCTTTGGTTGCTCGCATCGACAGAGACTCTGAACTTCTGTCGTGTAAGTTATAAACAGAAATATGAAGTTGGTACACTATCCCAATACTGCTAATGTTGCCCCTGATACAAGTCTTATCTGTTGAGCCAACACTTCTCTGAATGTTCCACAAACTAGCCATAAGTCATTTAGTTGTCAGGGTAACATTTCAATGAAGAACATATTTTATTTCCGTTTTACTTGAGAGCAAGATGAAGGAGTTTTAGCCACTTCTGTAGTGAAGCAAGTGTTCAGTGGAATAAGATGTCTCACATACTGTGTCTCCTTTGTTAGCTCTGTATTCGTGCATTACGATAAATATGTCTGTTTTACAGTGGCTCCTGACCTTAACCAGGCGACAGAGAAAGACATGGAAATGTTCTCAAGTCGGTCAGTTCCAGTGTCCATGAAGGCTAAAACAGATCACATGGCTCAGATAGAGATTTTACGCAAGCCATGGTACAAAAAACTTGTTGACCAGTACATGGACAAGGAGTATGAGGAGGAGGACCAAATACTTTTCTAGATCTCCTCATCAGTGGTTCACCCAATTAGCATCTCATTTACATATTAATTTACTCTGTAATTTGAGTGTTTCATGGAAATCTGGATGATTTTTCTCAAGAGATGATGAGGAAGCCAGAACATAAACATGATAAAGAATTAACAGTTGCCGCTTCACTCATTAATTTTGTGTTTTTCATTTAAATGTTGAAGGTAAAAGTACCATACATGTATGTGTGTATGTATGTATGTATGTATATATGTATATTGAGATCTAGTGGTACTGGCACTTCTGTATGATAATGGAATCAAAGGAATATTTTTTGGCTTCGAGTTATTTTACACACACTAAACTGATTGATGTATGAATACAACTATTGAAAAGTTGTAAAATTGGAGGTGTACATTACTTTAAAACTAAGTACCAAGTAGGTTTTTATTTTTTAAATATTGAGATTATTTTAATGAAAAAAGTTTTTTTTTTTTACATATCTTAATTCACAAAAGATTAAAAACTTTTAGAATTTTACAACAACCCACAAACAAGTTTTTCCAACTTATATTAATCACATTTGTTGGCCCCGATGGAAGAACACAAGGAAGTGTGAAAGGAAACTTTTGCACTCGGGGGGAAAACCTATGTGATCGGACAGGAGACCCTGGAAAAACCTTTAGACATAAGGAATTGCAGAATTAAGAATAAATAATTAAACCTCTGTACATCTAAGTGAAAGGCAAGTGGGTTATCACTCTGCCCCCAATCAGTTATTTGGTAAATGGTCATGCAGATCGTGTTGTGTAACAAGATCTCATTTGTGTTAGAATCTCCAAGTTGCTTATTGTTGGTGCTTGACTGAATGCATTCAAAGAAATTAATCTCAAACTACATCATCCATCCAGTAAGTTGACCGTTAGAAAGAGGTAGCAATGTTACATGTTTTTATTTATTTTGAATTTCACATTTAGAATACAAGGCTCTTGTAAGAAACCATTCCCATGGATGTGGCATTAAAATGTCCGTGGAAATGTTTTACTGATGGCTATGTCCTTCAACGGAAACAATAACGCATCAATACCACAAGGTCCTTAGCTAATCTGTGAGTTGTGTTAGATTTAACTATTTATATCGACTACATTTGATATGAACTCCTGTAAAATATATTTAAATGAATAAATATGAAAATAATAAACATGCAGTTTGCGTTTTCAATATTTTTTGTGACCTGAAGTGAGAAATGAGCCAATATCATACTGTGGTATGGGAACACTCCTTATTTAAATCAAATCTCAGCCCGCATCAAGTGTCTCATGTGCAACATTTTAGAAAACGATCAAGATGTCAGATTTAAAGATCCCTATGGGATCTTGGTTTTTGTTTAGAGTGAAAAGTTTATAGTAAAATACTAGAAGTCAAGGAGTATAGGTTCCAAGGTTCATGATATTGTTGCATCTTTGAGATGAAGTACCAGTATCAGAGTTGGATACGGTCTAGATAAGGTAGGTATGGTCAGGTGAGACAACAAACTCATAATAAATTACCACTTCATTATGCCAGGGTACTATATAAAAACAACATACAAAATAATTGTTCTGTAAAAAAGTTTTATTAAAAGAGGTATAGATAAAGAATTACCTCAAATAAGGTACCTGACAATTTTTTTTCATTTTTGTACTCGGACATTCTGCATGTTACAATTAAAATAAACAACCTCCAAATTCTCTCCATTTACTTGTTACACTTCAATATAAGATGAAAATTATTGAAACAATAATTACCAATTTTTTTTAATTCAACATAATTTCATGGGTTTTTTTACCCCAAAATATGACCACAAAGTATATCAAGTTTCTGTCGTCTTGGTTGGAGTTGTCCATTCTATTACCTAAAAACAAGAGATTTTTTTTGTGCTTTCTTTAAATAGAGACAATGGTGAAAATGGTACATTTCAACAATGGTGTAAAAGATTTAGTCCAAATACACAAAATCTCTTCCAATAGGTTGAATAATTAAAGTTAAGTTACAACAAGTAGAGCATAATAGGCTGATCCATGCTAACACTCCAATTTCCAAGCAAGCAGATCTGAATACTATTTGTTAATATCAATGTAGACCCAAATTAATACCATCTTTCTTCTGTCTTTAGTCACATAAATAGTAAAATAATTATACCTGACAATTTGACTGTTAAACCATTTTACTATTGGTACTTAACTAGAAAATTGTGTGTATTCTTGGTGTTGCTTGAACCTAATTGATACCGTTCACCTCCAAAAAATCAGTAGACTCCCCGAACCAGTGTAAATAATTATGTATCCCAAAATCTTAAAAACATTAAAGTGTCTGTTGTAAGACTGATCTATATATGCTTCACATAGTTTAGGCTGTATAACGGTTATATAGGGTAAAAAATATATACTCATCAAAAAAACATGTACTAGTAAATAATTTGACAACTCATCTTGAACTGTGTGGCAAACTCTGTATAGGTGTCAGTGAGATGTAACAATCAGATTTTCAGTTGAACAGAAACTATGGATGTTAGTATTCAATATAAGGTAGCATCCTTTTATCACTGACCAGAAAACAGTTTACATATCATGTAATATTGTTTCACACATCAGTCCATAGTCACAACATATTCCCTCAGTAGGTACATACACCTTTGACCATTTCCAAACCTCACAATCAGGAAAATGTGGTAAGGTACAAAACTACTATACATATCAAAACGAAATGTGTTCATTTCACGACATCGGAGACAAAAATATACACATTTCTGAAATACAGTAGTTATTTCTCTTTCATAATTGTCCAAATTCATCAACTTGTCCATTCAAGTTATTTTGGTTGACATACTGAACAAGGGAAGGTGGCCATTTTAAATTTTTTCCCAGTCAGATATGGTCATCTTAAATGTTATGTATGTACTAATGATGGATCTGAAATTGCTGCCATTTCAAAATGTAAGTTTTCACTCTGTGAAAAAGTTGCACAATTAGAAGATGGTTATTATGTGTAGAATTTGATAAAGATTCCTACATTACTAATACGCTAACAAAAAAAAATAAGTATGGCTGATGAAAGACAATGGACAAAATATTTGATGATTGTAGGCAAAAATATTTGAAAAGTTACTCAATGGTTTTTTCAGAAGAGCATTTTTTTTTTTTTTAACAACAATCAAGAAACTTATCAACTGAAACTAGAACAATGACCGGCCACAAGGGCCATGTGGTTTGACCTGAATGGCAATCTATCTCAAACAAGCACTGTTGGTTATGAAGAATTGCATCAAGTTTGAGTTAGATTGCCTACAGCAAACTCAAGTTATTCCACAAAATGGATTTTCCATTATAGTAACAATAACCTCAACTTTCAACTTCTAGGACTGAAAAGTAAGCATTTCAGTAAGAAAGTATTGTATGAAGTTTGAGTTTGATTGGCCCAAGGGACCCCAACATAAGTCACAATTTTCTATTTAGGGTAACAGTTATCTGAACAATTGACCCCGAGACCTGAAAAGCAATCCAAAGCAAGCCTTTTAGAAAGGAAGCATTATATAAGGTTAGAGTATAATTGGCTAAAGCAAACTTGAGTTATCCCAGGGAAACTTATTTTTCTATTTATAGTAACAGTGGCCTTGATCTTTGACCATTGACCTTCAAAACTGTAAAGCAATCCTAAGCAAACACTTTCAGTAAGAAAGTACTGTATGAAGTTTGGGTTATTTCGGCCAAAGCAAACCTTAGATTTCACATGGAAACTGATTTTCTCTTTATAGTAACAGTGACCTTGACCTTTGAAGCTGACAAGCGATCCCATGCATGCACTGTCAGAAGCAATGTGTTTGAGCTTAATCGACCCAAGGAAACTAAAGTTATCGCATGGAAATAAAAGTGCTGGTGGACAGACGGACACGGTGATTGTTATAGGGCACACAAACTTATGAGCAGGGCCTTAATGAGATTATTATAGTCTGAATTTGGACTTTAAACTGGTACAGAAAAGTTTAACAGTTGGTAACCATTACTTACAATCATGCTCTCATTTCATACAGAATCTTAAAACAGCTGAAATAATGATCTCCCTAAAAATATTCTTCTTTTTAACTTTTTCTAATTTTAAAATCAGTTACAGTGATTTATACTTTATCAACAATAGTTAATTTGAAGACAATTTTAAGTTTAAGAGATATCAGCATTAAATTGTTTAAGTATATACTGAAGAAAGAAGACTGTCTGAGACACCACAGCATTAACAAGGACCAAATCAGCACTTGTTTCAAGTCCACACTTCCTCTAAGTAGAATTTGTAGAGTCGTAATCTCATCACTTGTTTCTTTGCCTCTTCAACATCTAAGCCTAAAAATGAGAAGGTGTAATGAAAGATTGAAGTCATGATAAAAGCTGAAAAGCAGTGAGCTCAATGTAATCTTAGTATCTAATCTTAATACAGTTCTATGCTTACAAATTTCCAATCAAGCCATTTCATCACAATTTGCAATTTTTCTATTATGAAATATAATCCTATATCAGAAATCAATGACTATTCTAAATGTATTTTTACTCAATAAAATTCATGAAACACCCACAAATTTACATCTATTGGATTTGATTTCATTTTGTGAGAAATGTTTCTGAGAGAGTCCTCTCAAATTTTAGATATTTTTAAAAAATATATTTAAGCAAAGTTTTTCCAGAAGAAGAAAAAATTAAGGCGTTCCTCTTTTAGAAGTGTGTTTTTAGCATTTCACTTGTGTGAATTTTGGCTAAATACCTGTGTATTTAACCCCTTATTCACAAAACCATGAATTAACACTATTATTCAAAAGTACTTATCAGTATTGGGGTATGAAATTACTGACAAGTATATCTTTCTAGATTCAAAGTTTTTAGAAATAATTTGTTTGGTTGATAGAATCAAGATATAAATATTACAAACCTTTCACTTCCTGCAAGGACTTTATCACAGTTTCATTCACGTCCTTCGCCATATTTTTGGCATCCCCACACACAAATATTTTGGCACCCTTGTCAATCAGGGGAATTAACTCCACGGCATGTCTAAAGATATTGTCCTGAACATAGCGTGGCTCATCACTGTCTTGTTCATCACGGGAGAAACACACACACAGCCTTGTTAAAATTCCATTTTCCTCAAAGCTAGCTAACTTTCTTCTATAAAACAAAGATATTATTTTCTGATACAGTTTCCAAGCCAATATAATCTATAAGCTTTGGTAAAAAATTAAGTTGGTATTTACCAAAACACATTATAACTTGTACCTAATACTAAAACTGAGGAGGAAAAAGAGGTATAAACTGGTTATGTATTATAAGATTAACTTTTGAGGACATTTATAATTTGTATTCTATTACAATATTATGTGGATATTACCATGATGAACCGGCGTATGTAAGAAGATGTGTATATTTTTGTCGTGTATATTCACATGTGTTTCGTTGTGAAAAATTTTTGAAATACACACATCACTGAATATCTTCAAAACTACATGTCTACTTTATGACCATAGCATCTAGAATTTGTTAAGACTGAAAATTTGACCATCGACAAAAAAAGTTAATAATTTACACATACAGTTAAGGTAAAATAACAACAATTTATATAATTACACCCAGCTTGAATACAGGTTTATCCCTTATCTACAATACACAAATGAGTGTGTATGTATAACATCATGTGTAATGTAAGTGTTTATTACACACAACTGGGTGAATATTGGGATTTACATATTAAGTTTTAGGTAATTTTTTATTCCCTGTAACTCACCTGTATAAGAAATCTTTGTCTTTATGACGACAACCAAAGAAGAGCCAAGTATCTCCGTACATAGCAGGGTCTTCCATCTTCGCACGGAGAGCCTCTCTGTGTCGCAAAAACCCAATGAATGGCGCCACACCTGTTCCTGGTCCCACTAAAATCAGTGGCACGGTCAGATCATCTGGCAGACGGAAATGTTGGTTGGTCCGGGCAAATATAGGGATCTGTTGAGCACAGAAATTTACAATTCAATTATTTAAAATCATGGAAGTAGCTAGTTATCTTTTTACTTTATCTCGGTGTACAATTCATCAAAACAAATCACATCTGAAAACAGATAATCCCTATCATAAAAAACAAGTCATCAGTGTTAGAAAGACATGGAAAACAAGTCAAATTAACCATATAGTGCATTATTATAGTCACATGTGACAGATGAAAACTTCAATGTTTATAGAACCTAGCTGTAATACAATGACATAGGTATAATAGTGCAAAATCATTTTTCAAATATTAAAGTTTCATGCATAACCTGTAGTAAAAATGACATAGGTATAATCATGTAAAATCATTATTTAAATATCAAAGTTTATTAGAGTTAGTTTCCAATTAAATAGGTTGCTATATATTGTATAAGATTATCATAACAAACCATGGCTTAATGTGTTACTGCCAATTTAGTGGATTGTTAAAACTTCTGTTGCCTACCTTCATAGGTGATAATTTCAAACTGGTCACTCTCTCAGAGATGTCAATCTCAGAGGGTAGACATTGGTCAACATAGGACTGCTGAATAACTTTGGTCAATCGGTCAAGCATTCCAGTACACACACCAGTTCGGTCAAACATGCGGCCGTCACCACTGGGGATTTCCACAATATTGAAGGCCACCTCTATCACACCTGGTTCAGCTACGGGTGAACTGTTCATAAAAAAAACAAAGTAGCTACAGGTGAAATGTGCACATAAAAGACACATGTAATCTACATGTAAACCTTTCACATAAACAAGAGGCCAAATGGGCATGCATTGCTCATCTTGTTAATGCTTATTCAGCTTTCAGTCATTTAACAAAGAATTCCAAATCTGGCAAATGATTTCTGAAATAATTTCCCTATTGGATCCTGGCATTGTGCTCAAACCAAAGTCAGATCGACCATTCTTTAAACATGCTTCCTCATCCCTCCTGCCCCAGGGGGCCAGGAACCACCATTTATACATAACTGATTTTTCTTAACCCAAGAATACTCCAGACCAAATTTGGGTACAATTCAATCATTCCTCCAGGAGTAGGATTTTAAAGAATTTGCTTTATTTCTTCTATTGGGCCTGCCTCTACTGCCATTTATACATTCATACAAAATTGATTTCCCTGCACCCAATAATGCTTCAGACCAAATTTGGGTAATGTCCCTTCATTCCTACAGGAGCAGTAGGATTTTCAAGAACTTGCTAAATTTCCCCTTTTGGGCCCCAACCCTCAGGGTCCTGAAGGCTCCATCACCCAAGGATGCTTCAGACAAAATTAGGGTAAAATCCAATCAGTCCTAGCAGAGAAATAGGATTTCAAACAAATTGTTCTCCTCTCCAAATATGGCCCTGCCCCTCCAATCCAGACGGCTCGAATCCATTGTTTAAACAAAACTGATTCCCTTTACCCAAGAACACTTCAGACCATATGTGGGACAAATCCAATCATACCTAAAGGTGTTGGATTAAAAATAAAACTCTCTCTAATCCCCGCTATAATTGGGCCCCGTCCTTCTCGCCCCAGAGAGCCAAACAATGTATATACGAAGTTTCATGATCCTTCGTTAACTGTGGGCAAAGTTATGCTTTTGATACTTAGGAATGATCAAATTCATTTTATTGTTTTTTTCTAATATCTATACCTGCACACCGAATAGGGCCTGGGCTGCAACCTGGGTAGATGTTCTGAAAATCAAACGTGCAAATTCTAAATCATTCTGTTAGGGACAATACAGGACAAAAGAAACATGTTTTTCATTTGATGTACTTTTACAAACAAGCCATGATAACAATAAGAGATCCCAAGGGATCTTGGCACCCACAATTGATTTATCTTTATTTGTTCTTTAAAATTTGGATCTTTTCCCATCTTCGCTCTCAATAACATGAAATTGAACATTCCTCCGATGAAAAAAACGATGATTATCTTTACCTAGCAAATCAAAGATGGTTGCCTGGCAGTTATCTTTTCTCTCTGACCAGTCCTGAAATTAACTTGGCACAACTTGGGGCCAAGATATGAAACATGAGCAACATTCATGTGGTACTTCTTCAGAAATAGCGATAACAAACTTTCTTTGTCAAAATCAAAGATGGCTACTGGTCGACCATTTTGTTTTTATGTTCAGTTCCAAAACTAAACTCTCTCAACTAGGGACCAAATGGAACCAACATGTGGAATTTCAGAAAGATCTATCCAGTGCTTCTCAAGAAATAGTGATCAAAACTTTATGAGGCTAAATCCAAGATGGCTGCCTGTCAGCAATTTTGATTTTCCGATCAACCCTACAAATCAAATGGGCTCAATTAGAGACCAAGGGGAACATACATTTCACAGAGAACCATCCAGTACTTCTCAAAAAATAGTGGTAACAAACTTTCCTTGTTAAAATCCAAGATGGCCTTCTTTCGGCCACTTTGTTTTTCAGATCAGTTCCAAAATCAACTAGGAACTATGGGAATCATACATATCAAATTTGAGAAAGATCCATCCAGTACTTCCCGAGTACAACAACCCACAGACGTAGGGCAATTTGAATAACCCGCCATCTCATGATGGTGCACCAAAAACAGATATCATTATTCAATAAGGAAATTTGGAGAAAAGTTTTTACACATCCATTTCAATTTCAACCAGCTTCTTTACTGAATTTATTTTAAGGAAAACTAGAAAATGTCTGTAAGACATGAATGCCCCTGCCCCCCCATGTGAAATAATAGTGAAAGGTCAGAAAGAGATGATTTTGTTAATTTGTATGCAACTATGTACAACTTCAATTGACAAGTTGATTTAAATGAATTTGGAATTTTGTTCTTTACCTTAAAACCCACAAGTACCAAATTATGTAGAAATAAGATGATGTTCCTCTTTTTTGAGCTTCCATCTTTTTTTAGAATGCTTCAACACTGCATGAGGTCTTTCTATACTTGATATTTGTATGAAGTTTCAAAAATTGCCTTCCGAATTGTTAGGTGGTATATACAACAGCCCCCGGCCATAAATGAAAAATCTTCTTAACTTTACCTATTGATTGTTTACATCACATATCTTACCAAGAAGTCTTTCTACTGGTGGATTACAAGAGGTGAAGGTCAGGAGGAGGTCAAATACACTAACACCAGCCTCACGGATAAAGTGTAAGTAGTCTGAACTGCCTTGTTTACTACAAAGCTCCTGAAGTCGTCTACGCTCTTGTTCTTCTGTTGTATACTCTGCCAGGACTCGGATAAAGGCCTACAACAGAAATCAGACATATTAATCCAACATATGAAACTGAAACTTTGTATATTAATGTATTTTATCATATGAAGTACATATCTTTTGATGTCTTCATTTTGTTTTATTATTTTTAGATATATAGTTTGAAGAGTGTGATACACAATACACACATATGCCACTGGCAATTGAGGAAAATTTAACTCTCCATTACTCGACCAATTTTTCAATATTAACATCAAAACTTGGTATAAATGTATATTATGATCATATTGATGATGCCCCCTACTACACTTTAAATGATATTTTCTTAAAAGAGTCTTTACAAATCTTTTTGTCACTGATTGTCACCTGTTGACTTTTAGATATATCGCTATAATGCTATGTGTTCTGCCATATTATCAAGTCTCGGGCAATTAACTTCAAACAAGAGCAAGGCTAGTTCATGATTGATGGAAATCTCAATCTGAATAACATCAGAACACCTAGCCTGTCACCTTTGATAAATGTTTAGTTACTTTAAACACTTGTCTCATAGTGACTGTATGCATGCATAAAACTGTTTCAAAGGATTATAGTGCTATTTATATCATATAACAGTCGCTAGGTGACTTTGGTATCTTTTTGGAAAATTTGACCAATCAGAAAGCTAGGATTAACAGTAAATTCTACTTTCTGAGGCTGTGACAATAGGTTGAAACCCTGTGTTACTTTTAGCCTAAAATTTGTTTAAAAGTTTGGATTTCTATTTCTAAGTAGACTAACCTTCTTTGGGGGTTCTCTAAGGTCAACACAAGTTCTAAGCAGGTGGTGTAAGGAGGTTGCTGAAGGATAATACTGTGGCACTGTAGGGTTCTTTTTCTTGGTACCTGGGATAATGGAGAATTGACACACTCTGTCTGCCTTATCCACAACACCAAGTCTGTAACAAACAACAGTGATCTACTTATTGTTTAACAGAATATGTCCCAGATTAACTGCTTTTGCCCTAATAATAGATTAAGACAAGGATCATCTACTGTAAAATTTCATTGAATTCATGGATACTCTTAATCTATGAGTTCATATGATTGAGAAGTATTTCTGGGGACTACAGTGCATGGCCTAAGACTGTAAAGAATACAAATGACACAAAACTGATTTTTCTATACTGCTATATCTATATGGCAGATCTGGCCTCAATTTAACCAGTTTCAAATATGCTTTCAACTATAAAAATATTCCAAAGAAATTTATCAGTGAAACTACTTGAAAATTCCTTATAGTATGATTTAAATATTTTATAAAATCCATATATCAGAGACACTGTTCCTACCTGTGTAGGATCCTGGTAACCTCATCTTCACTGTTAGAACACACCACAGAGATACTGTCACCAGGCTGGTAGTCAAATGCAGAGTCCTGCTACAAAAATAATTGAAATAATCATTAAAAACAGAACATCTTTATGGTATCTAAATCTTCATCATTGTAATGTTTCCACAGAACAGTAACTATGAACAAGAACTCCTATGAAGTTTGAGAAGATCTTTCCTGTCCTTTCCGAGAAATACCCAGGGAAACTCTTATTGTCAAAAGCCAAGATGGTCTTCTGTCAGACGCTACAATATACAGAGATACACAGAGTTCTACTGCCACTGAGATACACAGAGTTCTATTGCCACTGAGATACACAGAGTTCTGCTGCCACTGAGATACACAGATTTCCACTACCACTGAGATACAGAGTTCTACTGCCACTGAGATACACAGAGTTCTGCTGCCACTGAGATACACAAAGTTCTACTGCCACTGAGATACAGAGTTCTACTGCCACTGAGATACACAGAGTTCTGCTGCCACTGAGATACACAAAGTTCTACTGCCACTGAGATACAGAGTTCTACTGCCACTGGGATACACAGAGTTCTACTGCCACTGAGATACACAGAGTTCTACTGCCACTGAGATACACAGAGTTCTACTGCCACTGAGATACACAGAGTTCTGCTGCCACTGAGATACACAGATTTCCACTACCACTGAGATACACAGAGTTCTACTGCCACTGAGATACACAGAGTTCTGCTGCCACTGAGATACACAAAGTTCTACTGCCACTGAGATACAGAGTTCTACTGCCACTGGGATACACAGAGTTCTACTGCCACTGAGATACACAGAGTTCTACTGCCACTGAGATACACAGAGTTCTACTGCCACTGAGATACATAGAGTTCTGATGCCACTGAGATACACAGAGATCTCCTGCTACTGAGATTCAGAGAGTTTACAGAGATCTCCTGCTCTTCAGATTCAGAAACAAAGTTCTGCTGCTACTGAGATACTCTTGCTGCTAGGATACACAAACAGATATATGTGTATCCTGACAGGAGATTTTACAGATTTAGAAGGTTTAATGATTTCAATAAACAGAGATTACAATTGAAATTTAAACGTTCAAGGCTAATTAAATGTGTTTAGGTATTACAAACCTCAATGCTTAGTCGTAGACTGATAGTCTTTTTCAAAGCTTCTGGGTGTGTCATCGCAGTGCTAGATAAAACTGTTGCCATGGTTACTGATGAAGCAGCAGAAGGAAATGGTACACCATTCTGTATGGCTGTTTCATCGGTATTGCTATCCTATAAAAAATTATCAATACACTCTTAGACTAGTTCATTACGAAATATTTTCACCTGTTTTTCACAAATTTGCATCAGCTGTATAAAGCATTCAAGAGTTGTCAAAATCCAATTGGATCTTGTTTGATATGTTGCTTTTTGTAACAAATTACTAAAAATTTATATAAAACTTATTAAAGACAAGAGTGAATAGAGACTTTCATATATACATGTATTCCCAATGGAAGTGGTCCAGTATAACTTTTGACTTCTACCCTTTGACCCCGACATAGGACACTGAATATCTTTTTAAGATTTACAGCTCAGTGTTTAACATATAGAAATAAAATATTATGATGTTTGTGAGATATCTTGTAAAATATCTTGTTCACAATCTTTTCACTCAATGTGGTTAAGTTCTTTTACCCCTAAACTTTGACCAATGGCCACAGAAATCTGATTAGATGCAAGATCAGAATCATATAGTACAAATATAAATGACATCTTGTTTACAATTGCTTTACAACAGAAGACAGGAGATGAAGGCATGATGAAAATGGATTACAATTTCTATCAAATATCACTTGCAGAAATTGGAAGTAAAAATGAACTTGTGCATTCTTAGCGGTATTTTTTTTGTAAATTATTTAACTGCTTGTCATCCTGTCAGAAGTCTGTCAATCATACAGTTATACAAAATGAACTATCATATTCAACACAATTAGTGCATCTAACCCGCTTAACACTTTCCCCAAAATTTAAATGAAAAATCTTTTCAAAAGATATGAGAAAAATCCACAGATGTTTAAAACTGATTCAACTACTAAATAAATGTGAAAGATTTATCTAACCTAGGTAAATATTCTGGTTGATCTATAAGATATATTCTTAATGTGCTTACAATACATGTATATATCCAAGGTCCAAAACTAAATCTTATATATTAAAGTTTATTTTTTCTTGCTTTCACCATGAAACAGTTACCATGATAAGTGATAATTTGGTAAACCGTGTCACATACTTTCATCAACGTTAAATTACACATTTGAATACCTAGATAAACCTAGTTAATACATACTTTCATCTCTGTGTCAAGATATTCCAGACTGAGATATGCTGGGGACAGCACTGGAATCGTTAATGTCTCCCTACACAATGGTAACACTGAAGTCTTTAAAGAGGCCACCTGACATTCTGACTCCTCATTTTCTGGAAACAGTTTCCCACTGGCTCCATTCTCAGTCCTTACATCACTGATTTCTTTCTGAAAATTATTTCCAGGTTCCTTTTGAAGATTATCTTCATTCTCTTCTGTATTCTGTCCGTTTTTCAAAAATTCCGAATTTTCCAGGTTTTTTGAAACGTCACTTTCATTTGATTTTTCCATTGTGTTTAATGTCTTTTCATCAGCTGCTGCCTTGTCAGAACAAAGACCAGACTTGTAGGTGTGTCCAAGAAATTCGCAAAGAGCTGGAATTACCCCTTCCATCCATGGCTCTACAGCTACTTCCAGACTATGAAATGGAAACACAGTTATGAGTTAAAGCAGAAGAATGAAAGGTTTTATTGATAGGCATGATTACATAGTATTTTATGTTTTCAAAATAATTTACTAACTTTCCAGTGTAAAAGGGACACAAGACATTTGTATAGGAGGCAATGAATGTTTACTTTATATAATCATTGTGTTGGACAAAGCAGACTTAGTGAAATCCCTCTCCACCCTCTAAACCACAAACTTTTCTTCTACCATGACGGTCACCTTGTGTTTATACTTCACCATGGACAGAAATTAGTTAATAGAAAATCTACTCTGAAACTAACAGTTTAGGATATTTCTATGAGTTCAGTTTCTCAATTCAATTCAAAATGGTTTTACTAAGAATGCTTAAGAATTAGAAAAAAAATTATTTTTGCTCACATTTGCAAAGTATGGTATTGGAAAGTCGACCTTTGTGAAAAACAATGTACCTCTTACGATGCAGTTTAGATTAAGTTTCAAAAGTTCTACAGCAAAGAAGCACATCATTTCAAAATTCTCTTTTTAATAATATTATTATACATCACTGTGACATCAGAAAAATGAAATAATTTTAAAAATGTTCAACACTCTAACAACATCTGCCATTACCATAACAACTCCCTGTGATCGTAACAATTGAATCTTGGCTTTTATCATTGGTAGCCTTAAGTAGCCTGGTTATGTTCCTTTTTTTTAATTTATTTATCAGTGAATATACAAGATGATAAATGCCTATGATGATTTATAATGGTTTAAATACCATCAAAATATATCAAAAAAATTATTTTTTGAACCAGATTTAAACATTTTAACAGATCCCCGATAAGTTGACCAGGAGCAAACGAATTCCTAATTAAATGTATTGCCGTACCCTACTGCATCATCTCCCCAACCAGATGGGTAAAACCTCTTGGCTCCAAGTTCTTCTAGTCGACGATCCAATGTTTTACCAGCATTACAAAAGTTTGTGTAGTTGGAGTCTCCAAGACCTGAAAACGAACCATTTGAAACAAATTTCTGTTGTTAATGTCTTATCAAGTTGATCACAAAACTATTCTGCTGTGTCCTGTTATATTGTCATGTCATAAATATTGCAAGCCACATTACATAATGTGTAATAACACTATTGTGACTTAATAAATAAGTCACATTTTGAGGATATCACATGATTGTCTTTCTACTGAAAAACATTAGGATACCACGAGTCGAAATTAGATTATCTTGCAGGGAAATGAATTTGAGAACTTTATTTTAAGAAATACAAGTTAAATGATAAATAGAATCTTACACTTTTGTCGATGCAGTATGGAATTTATTACACTCATTAGTCACCTTCCTAAAAAAGTTCATGACATATTTAATTCAACATGTTTTATACACTGACACTCATGAAATATCCTCTCTATGCTGTGGTAAGTTACATCAGTATGTATTTTGTATGTATCATTACTTAAGTGTGATGTATCAACCTAAAATGTCAAGTCATGTTTTAAACAATAAAGTTACAGATACAATAAATTGACTGGAACTCTTGACAGTATTCCAACAGCTGTAGCAATAGCATACAAAATACTCTAGAATTTGTGATAGATGCATCTAGTGCTTTTCAAGAAATTGTGATAACAAACTTCATTGTCAAAATCCAAGATGGCCATCTGTCAGACATTTTGTTTTTCTAATTCCAAAAATCAACAGGGCACAACTAGAGACCTCGGCAACCGTATGAATAAGATTTCAGAAAAATCCACCCTGTACTTCTTAAGAAAAGGTAAAAACCAACTTTTTGTCAAAATCAAAGTTGGCCATCTTGTTTTTTCCTAATTCATCCAAAAATCAAATGAACATAATATGGGACCAAGGGAAACCTTCACATTAAATTTGAGGAAGATCAATTCCTTCCAGAAAAAGAGAAATCAATTTTTTATGGACAGACGGACCATCTGATGATGGTGTACTGAACATATGATGTCATTGTTCTGTAACATGTATTGTCCCCTGGTTTTATCCAGTGACATGTATAAAATATATCACAGATATTATTGATTATTTCATAAACCTCTTTTGTGAATTCAACAATCCTGAATCAATATTGATTTGACTGCTATGACTGTGACCTTGTAGGAATCTCTACATGTTCACAGTATGCATTAGTTTACATGGCCTTTTAGAATAGTTAAGTAAATATAACACATGATTTTAAATTCTTTAAGTTTAAAAAATTATTCAGATTTCAATATCTCCACCAGGTAACCAAGTACTGGAGAAGTCTTTCAATAGTAAAAACAAATATTGATTCTATGCTCCACTTGTGTTTTGGTAATAGGTAAATATTAATTTAAAACTTTCACCATTCATACTTCACACTAATACACTCGATGATTCATACAATTGATAACAACACCAGGAAACTTTTAAATACATGTTAATATATTCCTGTATAAGATTAACAAATATCTGTACAGTCGTCCTTAAAGCAGCTGAATAAAAAAAATAATGTACCTGTGGTGTCATGATGAACTTTATACAACAAATCAATGAGAACAGATATTGCTTTCTTATTATCACCAAAAAGAATGAATTCAAAGTAAAAGGTAGGAAAAATGGCAGGAATGCATGTTCCTGTAACAATGTTTCTTTGGAAAAAATAAAATACCTGAGAGAATTTCAAAAATTATAACAAATAGATTTTTACAAGAAAAACATTACTTGAAATACAACAGACTAAATTTACACAAAGACATAGAGTTTAGAGTTTGCATATTTGTAACCAGAAAATGTCACGGTCACCTGAGAGTGAATTAAATATATGCCAATGGCATTTTCATCTGACACCAGCCTGATTTGACCTGTAATCCGTCTGTCTTGTTTTGCATTCACAGTGAGATTAAGGTGTGTAAATTTCATCTGTTGTGTTCTATATCGTGGTGAATTTCTCTGATATTTCGTTGGTTCCATTTACTAGTTAAGTATACCACACAAGCCCTCATCTCCTCCCCACACCCCTAGGCATTGTTACAGACCATGTGGGCAGAAATACATGATTCAACTTAAGAATCAATATTACTTACCTAACAATGCATAATTCAGATTGGTAAGGTAATCATCTGGCAATGTCTTTTTCTTCAATCGTCGGAAAAATTTGAGGGCCGTATCAGGAGGGTCTCCATCACCGGTTGTGGAGGTGACAATCACAACACACGTCTCCCGTTCTATGTTAAACTGTAGAATCAAAACATTCTTTTTACCTCAATCCTAATGAAATGAAAGCATGTCTGATAAAGTGATATATCAGCCATGCCAAATGAATACAAGGAAAGATATATTATCACCCTGCTTACACTACAACATTAGTCAGGCATATTTATCTATCATAAACATTAATCAGGCATATCTATCTATCATAAACAGGCATATTTATCTATAGTAAATTTATTATTCAATTTAAATTATGTAATAACATCAGAACAATATCAGTAAGTGTAAATGGTATAAAGTGACAAAGTAAAACACGCTATGTAAATGTAATAAGAATGTATATTTTCAGAATCATGAACACATTGTATTTTGGTGAAGAAATTAAATCCCTTGTGAACAAAATTCACCTTTTTCTCTGTCTTCCCGAGGTCATGAATCTCAAATTTGAGTCCTTGTGCCTCTACCTTTTCTGCTATCTCCTTGGCAATAGCTTCAGCTTGACCAGTCTGTGTTCCATATAATAAAAGTAAACGGTCAGGTTTTAACGGAACTGGCATCCTGGTTAAAAGTCATACCCAGTTATAATCATCTGAAAAAAAAACAAAAAAGGAATTAAGAGTCATTATTTAACAATTCAGCTTACACTTTCATTCTTCCTTTTTCTGTTATATAATGTTGATAGTACAAAAACAAAATTATTAGAACAATAATAAGTTTCGACTTGTACACATTTCCTTTTAATGTAATGAGATTGGACAACAACAGAGATGTATTAGGCACATTGTATTGTAAGTTAGGATTCAGCATCTTGCTAGTATACCAACAGCTGTAATCAGTGTAATGATAACATGATCAGTTGTCATGGTAAATGTGATTAATAGTCATGGCAACAATGCAAACTATGAATGTGATAACAGCCATCAGAAGTCATGGCAACAATATTAACTTTAACATTTATACCAGCCATCGGAAGTTGTGGCAACAATACAAACTATAACAGCGATAACAGCCATCGGAAGTCATGGTAACAATGTAAAAAAGAACAGAGATATCAGCCATCGGAAGTCTTGGCAACAATGTAAACCAGAACAAAGATATCAGCCATCGGAAGTCATGGTAACAATACAAACTATAACAGAGATATCAGTCATCAGAAGTCATGCTTGGAACCAAACAGGTTTTACCAAATTGGAATTTTTGCAATGTTCTCAAATGATTTGTTTACCATATTTATCTGACAATAAGTATATTCATGTACCTGCACAAAAACCCATTCATATATATTATAGTTCAGCATCAATAACAAGCAAGACTTCCAAGATGATCTTAGGCACATCATTGTTTGATCTTTTCCTTTCTTTTATTGTATTTTCTGTTTTTTCTCTTCATTACAAGAAATCTGAAAATAACTCAAAGAAATGGCAATAATAATCTTTAACTGCAAAATCAAAGATGGCTACCTGTCAGTCTTTTTTTTTTTTTTTTTTTTATCGGACCAGCCCCTAATTAATAGGGGAAACTTGGAACTAAGGGCAACAAACACATAAAGTTTGAGAAAGATCCATCAATTACTTCTCAAGAAATAGTGACAACAATCTTTTATTTCCAAAACCCAAAATAACTGCTAGTCAGCTATTGTATCTTTCTGATCAGTCCAAAACTCAAACAAGCATACCTAGGGTCCAAGAGGAACCTTGGAGATAGAAAAAATGTAAACAGCAAACCAAACAATCAATGGGTATGTCGACAGACTTATTGGCCACAGAGAAGAATTCACTCTCATTCTTAAAATAGATCGAATGGGTCTTTTTTATATCAATACACTGCTTTTGGGATAAGAGTTTTAAGGGGTCCGAAACTGATACGCTAAAGACAGGAAATTAAACATTAAAGTGTTTTGTTTTTGATTACGCAATCATTTTTCTGAAGATAGATCAGACCACAAGACCTTAAAACGTTGACATTTGTCGCCGTATGGTCAACAAGAACATATGCGTCATGACAAGATGGTATTGCATCAGCATAAACATCAGCTAACCAGTTGGAAAGGAACACGTTGTTTTGTTTACCTAGGTTTCGTCTGCACTCGACGACGGAGGAAGTGAAAATGAAGCTTGGAAGGAAGTCGGTGTTCAATGTGGATATATATATAGGATTGTTCATACGGAACCAAGAAAATATTACTACATTTTTCTACTCGTATACTAATGCGTAGTCAAAGTTCTTACTGCTAAGGATATTTTCATTTGTTAATTCAACATTCATATTGTGCATAAATATATTGATACCTTCAAGTAAATGCGGTTAATGATTCCACTTGTTTTTACATTGTGTGATATCATCCGACCTTTAACTTTAATAACAAACTGAATTGTGGGTAATTTATTCAAATGGCGGAATGATTACAATGCTGACTATGTTTCCACTTCAGTGATCTGTAAAGAAGGGATGACCGACTTTACTGGCACTCCATGATTTTAACAGATCTGTCGAATCAAAATGGAAAACGACGTGGATCTGGATGTAGATAAGCGAGAGGAGGTATTTCATAATGCTGTCCGAGAATACATTGTAAGTATTTGTGCAGTATCACTGTCAATGTATATTACCTCGATTTCCATACAACAGCTGCAGACACATCGATAATGAAGTGCATCTACTATTTTGTAGGCGTACTTCAGTGTCGTCTCTCATTGACTGTATACTTTCCGTCTTGTAAACATTGTGATGTACTTTTCACACTCACATTAAATTGTATTAATGCAATGGCGCACAGATAAGGGTGCGTCAGTGACATTTTACACAAATCTCCCGTAAACAGGTAAAGCGATAGGCTATGTGCACGTGTCTTCCTAGCTGTAATGATGATGTAGCTTTGGAAATGATAATATTTTTGTTACGTCGTATTTTTATTGTCCGACATTTCATTAGCTGACTTTATTAATTCACGTTTTCAAGACAGTTCTAGATCTGCAACCGAAAATTAAATTAAAATTTTAAAAAAATATTGAAACTAGCTTGCAGTGACAGAGGATTTATATTCTAGCCTGTGCGTCATTCACTTCTATAGTAGTTAATGCAGGCTTAGCAATGACCGTCCGACCAGAATAATTTTGTTAACAATCATAAAGTGAATGTCATTTTCAATACAAATATGATAACTAATAAATTTCAAATTACTTATAAAAGGTTATGTGATTCAAACAGAGATTTGAAATATTACCCGTATTTTGGACAGAGTGTATAGAATGATATTTCAGTTGTAAATAGCTTAAATATATGGTTGTTAAGATGTCAGAAATTAAAAAAATGAATTATCACAAAACTTTGCACAATGAAATTGAAAATTATCCAGCTTTCTAGTAAATGTTTATTTTGAAAAAATAAATGAGTTATGTGTTTTTGAAAAAAAATGGTATATAATCATAGCAAGGCCTGTTCTCATATTTCATTGGTGTAGCTTTATAAAGAGAAATAGACAGTCCCCGATCCTTTTTATAAAGTTGATCCCAATGGCATTAATTTGAAACTCATTTTTAGTTGTGAAAGTTTTCATATGATTAGTTTTGGTCAATGAATGATACCAAATTAAGTATTTTCTACTTTTTTTTTTAACTCACATGTCTGAAGAACAAGTGAGCTAATGTTGTAGCTCAAATAAGTCGTCCATCAACTTTTCCCTTTAAACAACTTCTTCTTATCAACCATGTGGCCTAGGTCACTGATATTTAGACAAAAGCATGCTAGGATGAAAGGTTACAAGTTTGTTGAAATATATGACTTGAATCACTTTCAAGGTTACATGGGTCAAATTGAAAAGACCTTACACTATACTATCTAGTACCGGTATATATAATTGTAACATACATATCACACAATCACAATAACCATGCAGATACTTCAATATAGACTAGCAAAATGATAAAATTGTATAGATTAAATTATAAATCAATAGAGAACACTTTCCATTGATTAAATTTTGATGGAGACAAATAAATGAAAGTATCCTACACATATGCATGCTTTAAGTGTAAGGTTTGAATTAGCAATCGGTGAGTCTTGAATAATCTGTTATAATATAATGATATAACATCAAAGCAAATGCCCTACTACTACAGGAAATTCCCAACAGCTGAAATCAATAAGACAACCTGTAGTCAGACATCACAAAATTTTCAGTTCAAGACATCAACAAACCAGACTCAGCTCTAATAAAGCCTCTCCACCTGTTATAAGATTATCCTTATTATTTCTTTGTGAGGAAGTATTGAGAAATATCCTGTCAGTATTAGATATCATCCTAGATAACCTGTTGCTCATTAAACAATCAAAGCCTAAAAACGGCTTTATTATTACCTGGTAAATTTCATTCTAAAAAAAATCGTTTTCTGTAATAATCACAATGTAAATGTATGCATACAGTACATATACTACAATTTAAAAGTGACTAGACATGGATATAAGTTACAGTGGTTACATGTATGTACAACACCTAGCACCTGCAGGAGAGACTCATTCTCATTCAAGTTATTAAAATGTTACTCTGTCCATTTCTCTTGCCTTTTTATAAAGATCCACCTCATTGAATGGTCAGACAACAATGGTAGTTAGAGCTGACTGACACCCCACCCTTGACTAAGCATTATTCTGACAGTTCCAAATGGTGTTAATTGTAAGCTAGTGACAAGATAGAGATATTGAAATAATTATGTAATTACACCAACAGATTCTTGTGGTGTATTATATTGGGTTTGATAAAAAAAACTACCAGAACATCTGTCCTCTATCCTATTATAGAGCAGTAACAAGGTATAAGTTTAAATCCCCTATCTGTCCCCCTGACACAGCTGGGTTAAAGACCATTTCAGGAATGCTATTGAGTTTTGACCTATTTAAATTTAAAGCCTGTAATAAAATCAAAATACTGAAAATAGGACATAGTTGACTTATTGTATGCTACTAACTAGGAGACTTGTTATATTCATTATATCAAATTAACTACATGTAAAAATTGCAACAACTATGATAGGAATGTGTGCCTCAAATATGTAAATTGTTACAGAATTTAATTGACCATTCTATAAGGCCATGTACCGAACATCAAGCTTTCATAGTGTAATCTATATGGAAATGTTTTTGTTAAATGATCATGTATGAAACAAGTTCTCCGAAAACGAAGCTTTTCATACCAGGTGTTTACATCATATTGGTGTCATTTGATCCATTGTGCAATTGATAAAAGAATCATGGAACAAAATTTGGTAGACAAATAATTTTATCTGGAAATTTAAAGTGTAGTGCAACCCTACAACTCTATGCACCAAATGCATTGCAGGTTCTTGCATTGTGTGGATTGTGATTTATCACCATCTGAAATATTATATATATGCTTACATATAAAGCTTTTGTTGGACATGACACAGAAAACACCTTTGTGTATTCTGCAATATCAAATCATGACGTAAATTATAAACCATGACAGATTTCATAATTTGTGTCAGTTATACTGATTGTTTGACTGCTGTAATAACACCTAGCATTTTTGTGTAGGTTATAGGTTTGCACTTTACATTGTTCTCTTGTTTATAATAATCTATTTATAGAAATACATAGAAAATTGGACAGAATTCTTAACAGTTTTGAATATCAAAAGGTTTACCTTAAAACCGTGTTTGTCACAGTGGAATAATTATAATAAGATAGCTAGGAAAAATATTGTGTTGTATTAGTACATAAAAAAAATTACTGACTGAAACAATGATAGAACCTAGCCACCTAGTCATATTCTGTAAAAGGTACATTTACACAGTCTTAAAACAACCAAGATTAATCCTATGGGCAATATTGAATTATTGGCAACATGACTAGCCGTCCCCTATACTTTGTAATAGTTTGGAAACACTTTAAACACTGATGTACATTTAGATATCACTTAAACTTGGCAGCTAATTCACTGGTTATTTACATGTTTTGTTTACTTTTGGCTGAGATTTGTTTAACATATATAAATATTTCCATGCATAAGTTAACTTAGATTGAATGTTTACCGTGATTCAACAGTTGTGAATAATTTAACATTTTGATGTAAAATAAGTGTTTGAGAGCTTTCTACATATTGCTGTAAAATTTAAACTACAGTTCAGATATTTGCTAGAACTATTATGATGAATATTAGTATGTTATGCTCGATAAAACATTACATTCAATAAAATATCAATAACTTATCATAATACAAGATAACATGAGTTATACACACTATAGAAAATAGGTGGACCTGAAGAAAGTCATGAAATAGAATTTCTTTCTGGAATTTTAATGTATCACCTGTTTATTCTCACACTTACTGGCTATACATATATCGCTAGTTATAAATTCATATCAGACAAACAAACATCACTGCAAGATGTCTGACATTTGGTAGTCATCTTGGATTTTTGGGCTTTTTGAAACATCATTCTCAAATTCCATTATGTTTTTAACATTTCATTCAGAAACTGAACAAGATCTAAGATGACCAGCAAGCAGCAATCTTGGATTTTGATATATCAGTTCACTCTCTATTTTATATTTTCGTGGTCATCAAATAATTTTCCACTAATTAAAAAGACCAAGTTTGTTATTATATATGATACCTGTAGTTTCTCTGTTGTGATGTATATGACTATCTGTCCATTTGAGTTTGAGTACATGTATGTGAATGTAGCCAGTTGGAGCCCCCTCTCTCCCAATGTTTATACATACACAAGTTTGCATATGGCATATGTAATCTTAGATTTGATTAGCTGTAGTTCCTGCTACCACAAGAAAAAATACCAGAGCATCTTTATCACTCTCTCACACTCACTTTAGGTTTTGTTTTGTTTGCACTCTACTGGTCATGGGTCAAATGGTGACATCACTTAGAAAGGACAGTCTCAATGATAGAGGAATTTGAGGATTGACCTGCTTGTCAACACAAGATTTACAAAAGATTCAGATAATTAAATGTAAATATGCACAGAATATATCAGTTCACTCTCTATTTTATATTTTCGTGGTCATCAAATAATTTTCCACTAATTAAAAAGACCAAGTTTGTTATTATATATGATACCTGTAGTTTCTCTGTTGTGATGTATATGACTATCTGTCCATTTGAGTTTGAGTACATGTATGTGAATGTAGCCAAGAAGGGGAAAAAAATGAAATTTTAGTTACATCCAAATATTTTATTGAAAATTTCATTACTTGGTTGTAGGCAACAAGATCCATCTATTTGCTGTGTTATAAGAGACCTGGCTTTGTTGTGCAGAGAAAAACTTGGCTATGAATTGCTCTTACTGCCTGCCTCGATATATAGTATCAGATATGCACCTTCTACATGAACATATGTATACACACTCTAATATACTTTGATATCGTTTTCAAACCCTCTCCATGAAATTGCTAGAAATTATTGTGTCATTCTGGAGGCTTGCTTTACTACTATTTGATGAGGTTTTCTACCTTCATTCTCCTTGTTTCTAACGTTAATTTGAGGTGATAACGATTTAATAATGATTTCTCTTAATTGTAGATATTCATGCTTCTCTTCATCCTACTGTATGTGAGCTCCTACATTACAATCTGCTATTTCAAAAGAAAAGCGGACTCTGATGACACCTACGCAGGTATGACAAAATCAATTCTGTTATGTAATCTTAAATCAAAGATACGAGATAGACTGACATGTAAAGTGTGTTGGCAGTATGTTAATTATCCCCTAACAATGATGTATATCACATAACACTTGTCCTTGTCAATTTGCCAGCCGGTATGTGGGTATTTTGATAAAGTTTTATGCACTTAAATATAAGGACTATTTTCTATTTTAGTAGTTCTAGGTAGAATGACTCATCCATAGTCAGAATGCTATTTGAAAATGGGTATAATACAACAAGTATTTGGACTCATACACACTACCACCAGTTCTGAAAAAAAAATGAAACTTTTTACTTATCTTCTGATATCAGTGTAAGCTTACTTATAATTGATTATTGTTTAGTTGTAGATAGAATGGTAATTTACAATAGGTTATGTAAAGTACTACTAGTTGTTTTCTTTTTCATCTAATCATTTAACTGTGAAATACAGGAAATGAGGTTCCCCGCAAACAACAGATATACTTGCTACCTAATGATAGCTATACAGAGGATGATGTGAAAAGGTTTCCTTTTCCCACTGGTAGCAATTATTGTTTAACATGCTGCCTGTTCTCATTACATACTGCAGGAACATTTAGTAATTATAGAAGATACTGGTAAAGATAATAGACGTATCTTAAGTTTGATATTGTCTGATTTGAGAATAATTCAGTTAAACATTGAATGTGTTTGACATATACATGTGAGATAGTGTAGATTCTGACTTGATGCCTGTTTTTTCTCTGTAGGTGGAGAAGAAGATGCTGTCGTATACAGAATAGCGTAAGTTTGTAATCATTTCATCATGGTTAGGTTCTGCTGTCATTGTGTACATTAAACTTTCAGTATGACATGGTGTATACGATATTAGAATTAAATGTTTTCAAAGCAGTGCATTTCTCTGTACAAATTGGTTGGCTGTTGATGTGTCCAATTTCTGTTTATGTTTGTTATTTTTAAAATCAAAGAGTTCCTCTTGCAATCTATTTATTGTTGTGGACTATAATACATGTTAAGGGTGTTTTTGAATCATAGCATACACAATGGCCACCTTTGAGATCGTTGTTTGTTTTATGGACAGATTAATTTCACCTTAAGATAAGATGCTGTATCAGGACTGAATTGTGATAAATTCCTCCCCAATAACACAAAAGTAAGGTTATTGTTTACATGATATCGTAGATAGTGGTTATTGTGTAAACATAAACAATTACTGAGGACAGGTAAGTCATTTCCTGTAAATATGACAATATATGACTGCCCTGAAAGGACTGTTTGGTCCTGATAATGGGTCCAATTCCCACTGATATTATTTCTTATTTAAGCCAAATTCCCTACAATTGAAATTAATTCATGAAAATTTCCTTTGCAATTAACTGATTTTCTTCCTAAAATGAAGCAAAAATGCTTCATCCCAAATGGTTGGAAAAAAAAGTCCCGAGTGTAATAAATTCTGTATTTTCATTGTTTCCAGTATAAAAGACAAAGTATAAGATAGTTTTTACTGCTGTGCAGTTCATAGAGTAGTTTGAATTTTATAAGTACATTTTCCAGTCCCTTTGGGATTTCCTGTAGGTTCCTTTTCTATACTTGTTTATTTCTGTGTTTTTTTTAGTGATGATTTTGTCGAGTTAGCAATAACTTAAATCTAGACAAATATCGGAGGTAGGAGAGGATTGCTTATGTTCCTTGCTTATGTTCCCTTAACTTTTGAATATGGCATGATGCTGGCTTGAATGTTTGTACCTCTATCTTTCCATACATAGTATTCTCTTTTCTTGATAGATTTCTTAAGGTTTTTGAAATATCATTGGGCTAAGTAAATACCAAGTCTTCCGTTGGCACACTATACTGGTCATTTTATGATATATGAATTGAAAGTGATCATTGTGGTATGAGTGTACAATACTTCATATCCTGTAATGTATCACACACCACCTAGGTAAACAGACTATGTGGTGATTCATATCCACATTCTGCTTGTACCTTGTCACAAATGCTTTCATCCAAATTTCGACCCTTTCACTAGATTTGTATTGGTGAAATATTTTGGCTGGTGTCATAGATAAGATTGTTAGTTGTGTAGTGTTCCATGTTCATGATATAACACAGAGTTTATCTGGTACAGTTTACTGGTACTGTGGTAACAATTAAGTATACCAGACAAGTAAATATAACAACCTGAAAGGAAGTGGTTTTTGTCGTGCTACCCCAAAGGGAGAGCATAAGTCATTGCTTTGTGTGGCCGTTTTAATTTTGTCTGGAGCATAACACAAAAACTATGGGAGATATCAACATTAGATTTCATAGTAGATAGATTTTGTTGAGGTGTGCAGTGTACAAGAACCATAACTCAGTTATTGCATGATAATACAAGTTATTGCCCTTATTGCCCTATGCAGGGAACATAACCTGTTTCTGACAGCCCTTGTTTCAGTTCATTAATTAATTAATTAATTTTGATATGTGTAGTAGCAAGTTGTATGATATAAGGAAATAAAACGAAATGTTATGGCAGAATAGGTGTAGGTACAGATATTATACATTTTCTGAGTACAGGAAGAGAGCTTCAATTTTCATAAATATCCGAATATGCCCAAAATTATCATCATCTTCCTATCATAATCAAAAGGGGAGAAAGAATTTGAGATCACTCTTTGCTGCCCAGGAGGTGAAGTTCTCATTTCTCAAGACAACAGAATTTAAGGCAAATGTGTAATAATCATAGACTTGTTATGTTTTTCCATCATTTTGAATATTGATCTGAACTACATACAGGAACTAGATTATTTCTTCAATATACTCTGATGGTGTACATTCCTCCTGTGCATGTGTACATTCCTCCTGTCCATGTGTACATTCCTCCTCCTGTCCATGTGTACATTCCTCCTGTCCATGTGTACATTCACCCTCTCTGTGTTTCAGGTGATGGCTGTGTACATTCACCCTCTCTGTGTTTCAGGTGATGGCTGTGTACATTCACCCTCTCTGTGTTTCAGGTGATGGCTGTGTACATTCACCCTCTTTGTGTTTCAGGTTATGGCTGTGTACATTCACCCTCTCTGTGTCAGTTGGTGCTGTTCTACTGCTGCCCATATCCATTATATCAAATGAAGTGCTGCACCATTATCCGAAAAGTTATTATGTCAAGTGGCTCAACAGCTCCCTTATTCATGGTTTGTTGGAATTATCATGATTCCTTTCTATTTCCTTGATTAGAATTACAGTAATACTTCCACAAAAGAATCAATGTTGTTGGTATCAATGAAATAATGAGAAATGAAAAATCCGAGAACCAACAAATAGTGGTATCTTCTTGGATGGACATGTGTGAACATAAAATGTGGAAATGAAGGCTCCTCATCATCCAAGATCTGTATTGTGATCTAAATGTTGTTGAGATGTTTCGACCGCTGTACAACTGTCATCAGGTCCTTATGAATGCTTCAAAGATAAACCAAATAATGAATTGTATAGTCCCCACATACACGGGCCCGAGGGGCAGGGCCAAAAAGGGGTCAAAATGACTCAAATTTCGAAAATCTTCTTCTGAGCAGCCAGATATGATAGAAGCAAATGCTTTTCATGGATGAAAAGTCTAAGGGCACTTTCCCAGGGCCTCAGATTTCCCTTTGGGAAGGTGAACAAATTTTCTATAGTTTATATAGGAAAATTAGATTGTTGAAAATAAAGCTGTTCATCTTCCATAGAAATTAACTTGGTAAGAATTATGAGTATAGGATGACAGTTTTGATGGTATTCATAATATTGACACTGGCTGAACCCTAAGGGCTGAAAACATATTACTTATTAACATTAATGTCACAATTTTATTTTAATGACACATCAACCTATAACCTTTATATTCAATATGGCTGATCTCAGGTAACTGTCAAGACGACTCAGCCTCTTTTTACATTGATATTTTCTCATGAAATGAAAAAAAAAGACAAAACATCTTTTTGTTCGCATCACAATACATATACATAACCCTTTCTTCTTTTTCAGGATTGTGGAATATGCAGTTTGCTATGTCCAATGTTTCACTGTTTTTCTTCATGCCATTTGCTTATTTTTTCACGGAATCAGAAGGTTTTGTAGGATGCAAGAAGGTAAGATGATTTTTATATTTCCATTATTTTGTACAGATACCAATGTTATTTATTCATAATATCTTTTTTTTCTATTTATCTTTATAAAAAAAATATGCAGTATCAAAGGCAACTATTACAGAGGTCATGCATATTAAAACAGACATGTTGACCATTCATAACTACAAATTTATATCTAATGGAACTGACAACAGATTAGGGATGTTACCAAAACAAAAAATGACAGCTTCTAATCCCTATATACTATCAAAATAAGGAAACTATATTGCATGGTCACACTACTCATTTCTTAACATGTTACAGACAAACAGAGATGTACTATACAGTGCCAAAAACAATACAATTTTTTTAATTTGTACTTGGATAAATCAGCTCACCAAATATACATGAGGAAATTACACAAGTTCTCTTGGTCCAACTGATACAGTCTGACCAAGCAAATTGACCACTGGTTTAATATGAAATTAACATGGGCCAATGGCAGAAGTCTTCCTTGAGACTGTAGAAAACATAGATACAATGTTTATATCATATCATGTTAAAAGTTCCATGAAAATGAAAATTACATATGAATTATCGTTTCTGGAGTTGATGACTTGATGACATGTGATCATGTTTCAGGGTGTGAAGGCGCGTGTTTACGAGTCTATCATCGTCCTCTTCCTTCTCATACTTGTTGTTGTGGGATGTGTGTGGGTAGTTTCTGCCCTGTTTGACGATGACATCCACAAAAAACAAAGATTATTTGGTGAGTGTAAACTCCTGTTCATTTTACTAATCTACCAGGCAATTCAATGTTTAGAATTATGAGTCTTGGCAACTGCTGTCTTTATATTACTTTTACTTCTAAATTTAATGATTAATTATCGTAAATTATATTCAAATCATGAGGATTTCTATCAACACTGGTCAGTGATGATATATAGGTGTACCTGGACTAATTTGATACCATATAATTCTTGCAAAAGTCTTCGGATATAAGTAATTTGTATCATCATTTAATTTCTCATCTAAATCAAGGAATAGTTATGATGAAATTTAAATACTTATTTGTTAAATATTTTTTTTACAAACACTGATACTGTCCATTCCTGTCTGCTTGTTGAAATTCAAACAAATCCTCCAACAATAAGCATTTTTTATCTGTAATTCTTTAAATATATTTGTGTTTTGAGCTAAGCTGGCTAAGTCATTCAAGGTAGGAAAACTACAGAAATAAACATTTTATGAATTAAGCAGAAAATTCACACCTGACTAATGATAGTTAAAGTGCAGTATGTGGTATGTGTTTTGTTGCTTATACATGTATATGTTATGGTGGACAAAGTGAAAAAAATCATATTAACCAAATCTTAATTGTAATCAGACATGGTTCAGAAAATCTTTGTTGTATATACACAGTATACAGTTATATTTATATGGTTTTTAAATCTGAATTCAGCTCTTTGTACTGAAAGCAATATTCAAAAATTTGATTTTTGTTTGTGCTGATTTTGTTTTACATTTTAATGTTGTTTATACCAAATGCACCAATCTTTCAGAAGTTGTTAATGTACTAATTGTAGAATGCACCACAGCATAGAAGATTTTTGATACATGATGTATTTTTAAAAATAAAAGAACAAGAGTGTATTCATGTCTTGTCATTTACTTCCGTTTTCCATTCAGGAAGAAATGGGCTAACGGAGCACATATCTGTGATGAAATAGAAATAAATAGCAGATCATCATCATTCAAATGAACAAGAGAATGTCAAACCCCCTAAAATACAATGATTGTAAATACAAGAAGAACAATTTGAGTGGTGCACACATCCTTAAAACCAGGGCTTAGTCCCCGCCTTGTTTGTCAGGAAGCAGTTCTTGAAAGTGTTTATGTTTTTTGTTTCAGATCTTCTGTCAGATGTTTGGAACTTCTATTTGCCATATCTATACGCAATCATATCATTTATTGGCGTCATTGTCTTACTTTGTAAGTATTCTGATTGTGTTAACGTCGTTCTTATGTGTAAGAGAAAGTCCGAGATCATTTCCATCACAAAGGTGAGACACATTTCAATGTGCAAGAGAACAAGAGTCTCAGTGTCATTCTTTCATCTTATCTTTAATTCAGGATAATGAGGATGAATAATTAGGTAAATATCTCTAGAGATGGGAGCAGACATTGGTGTAGTTGTGAGTGATGGAGACCGTTAGGCCTTTTCTTGATAAAATCTGATGACATCTGTTTTATGTTATAGTATGTACACCTGTGGGATTTGCCCGGATGTTTACTGTGATGGGTAAACTTGTAGTTAAACCAAAGGTTTGTACCTATCTTTTTCTACTTATACTTATCATCTTTTATTCTGATATATTGACTTTTTGTTGAGAAATTTTAGAAATTTTCATTTTCCCGACATACATATATAACTTTCTTAAAGAGTGAAACTCAAAGCACCTAGAAAGAAATGAGGCATAATTGACACTATGATCATTGATGATAAATTCATAACCACAAGTCTTGGGGAAACTTTTATTCTTGCAAACCTTGGCTCAAATGAAAACAAATTTTGTACTTTTTATCACATAACTTAAAAAGCCTACATTTTGACAAGTCGATATGTGAGAACGCTATCAAACAGAAGTAGCCATTTTTTTATGTCATTTTTAATTATTGTCTGTATTATGACATCACGATCACTTTCTGACTTATTCATCCAATGAAAACTGCCTCAGGGTATATTACCCTTAGTGATATATAGGAAAATATATTATATGGGTGAATTGACTGGTTAACAGGTTGTCTATGTGACAAGTACATGGATTTATAATCTATTGACCACATTTCCCTGATATTTATTGTGGCTTATTTTTACAGTTCTTAAGAGATATAGATGAAGAGTTTGCCACTTTGAAAATGCAAGAAGAAAGCATACGTAGAAAAATTGAATGTAAGTGTCTTCATTGCATAATATGTGTAAGGAATGAAATGAATTTTCTTATCAAAATAAATTATGCTGTGAAACCATTTATCACTCGGGTCTATGGAAGCACACATTTTGAACAAATTTCCTCTTCAGTTTTCAGATTTCATTAGCATGGCTTTATGAATATTATGCATTTTTTAGCAAGAAAGAATATCTATATCATTATTATATAATATGATTAAAACTTGTTCCCAAATTCCTGTCAAAATTCTAAACTTTGATAACAGTAATATTTTACTCTGAAATGACACTAGAAATGCCATGGTATTTTTATTTAGAAAACTGTCTTTGATTCCACTTCAGTACAACACCAACATAGTACTATAGCAAACGGCCACACTACACAAGACTCCCTTAATAAACAGCTGGAGGAAATTGAAAAAGATAAAGCTGAGTTAGGTAAGTAAGAACGTAGATCATTTTAGATCCCTACAAAGTCGGAGTATAATCCTAATTGTACAAGCACATTACCGAGTATAATCCTAATTGTACAAACACATTACCCAGTATAACCCTAATTGTACAAGCACATTACCAAGTATAATCCTAATTGTACAAGCACATTACCAAGTATAATCCTAATTATACAAACACATTACAGAGTATAATCCTAATTGTACAAACACATTACCAAGTATAATCCTAATTGTACAAACACATTACCAAGTATAATCCTAATTGTACAAACACATTACCCAGTATAATCCTAATTGTACAAGCACATTACCAAGTATAATCCTAATTGTACAAACACATTACAGAGTATAATCCTAATTGTACAAACACATTACCCAGTATAATCCTAATTGTACAAGCACATTACCCAGTATAATCCTAATTGTACAAACACATTACAGAGTATAATCCTAATTGTACAAACACATTACCCAGTATAATCCTAATTGTACAAACACATTACCCAGTATAATCCTAATTGTACAAACACATTACCAAGTATAATCCTAATTGTACAAACACATTACCAAGTATAATCCTAATTGTACAAACACATTACCAAGTATAATCCTAATTGTACAAACACATTACAGAGTATAATCCTAATTGTACAAACACATTACCCAGTATAACCCTAATTGTACAAACACATTACCAAGTATAATCCTAATTGTACAAACACATTACCAAGTATAATCCTAATTGTACAAACACATTACCAAGTATAATCCTAATTGTACAAACACATTACCAAGTATAATCCTAATTGTACAAACACATTACAGAGTATAATCCTAATTGTACAAACACATTACCAAGTATAATCCTAATTGTACAAACACATTACAGAGTATAATCCTAATTGTACAAACACATTACAGAGTATAATTCTAATTGTACAAACACATTACCCAGTATAACCCTAATTGTACAAACACATTACCTAGTATAACCCTAATTGTACAAACACATTACCAAGTATAATCCTAATTGTACAAACACATTACAGAGTATAATCCTAATTGTACAAACACATTACCAAGTACAATCCTAATTGTACAAACACATTACCCAGTATAACCCTAATTGTACAAGCACATTACAGAGTATAATCCTAATCGTACAAACACATTACCAAGTATAATCCTACTTGTACAAACACATTACCCAGTATAATCCTAATTGTACAAGCACATTACCAAGTATAATCCTAATTGTACAAACACATTACCAAGTATAATCCTAATTGTATAATCCTAATTGTACAAGCACATTACCAAGTATAATCCTAATTGTACAAACACATTACAGAGTATAATCCTAATTGTACAAACACATTACCAAGTATAACCCTAATTGTACAAACACATTACCAAGTATAATCCTAATTGTACAAACACATTACCAAGTATAATCCTAATTGTACAAACACATTACCCAGTATAACCCTAATTGTACAAGCACATTACCAAGTATAATCCTAATTGTACAAGCACATTACAGAGTATAATTCTAATTGTACAAACACATTACCAAGTATAACCCTAATTGTACAAACACATTACCAAGTATAATCCTAATTGTACAAACACATTACCGAGTATAATCCTGATTGTACAAACACATTACAGAGTATAATTCTAATTGTACAAACACATTACCAAGTATAATCCTAATTGTACAAACACATTACAGAGTATAATCCTAATTGTACAAGCACATTACCAAGTATAATCCTAATTGTACAAACACATTACCAAGTATAATCCTAATTGTACAAGCACATTACCCAGTATAATCCTAATTGTACAAACACATTACAGAGTATAATTCTAATTGTACAAGCACATTACAGAGTATAACCCTAATTGTACAAGCACATTACCCAGTATAATCCTAATTGTAGAAGTCTTTTTTAGCCATTGATTGCTTTGTTTGAAACAATGGTTTGTTTTAGAAACTTTATATACATACAAAATCCAGTATTAAACTATTTATGTTATGTCATTATGTATACAAAGTTGTCATGTTTCTGTTGTAGAAAAAAGGAAAAAAATATCTCCTCTCAGAAGGAACCTAGGATATCCACTGGTCATTCTGGCTTTGTTAGCATTAACAGTTGAGTATACAGTACAACATTTATCTTGTCTGTCTGGTATTTTTTCTGGTATGAAATTCTCTATTTTCTATTCATCACGAAGTACAATCACACCTACTTCTGTTGGGTAAATGACATGATGTTTGTGTATATTGTTAGGTCTAGGTACGGCAGGAATTGATGTACTAGTATATTGACATGAACAGATTGTAGTATGGTCCAAGTTCCTGATTAATGAACAGGGCAGATAATTCATATTAAATAAATGTTCTTGATCTGATTTTAAATCTATTACAGACATTTTGATAAACTTATTAAGTTAACAATAATCTTCAGAGTAAACAATGATTGATGTCTTGTATGTTTCAGGTATTGTGTGTGTTAAGTGTGGCACATCATTTCTTTGAACTCCTGGTGGGAATCAAAGCTCTTCCTGTTGGAGCCAAGGTACATAACAATATACTGCCAGAACTTAGTCATACATTTCTGTCCTGTAATGGTGACGCTATCACAGTGTATTCAACCCATAACTAAGTAGTCACATCTCTGTGGAGGCATTATACAGGTATCCAATAGGAGCCATGAATTCTGCAAAGCTTGACATAGCTTTATTTAATCATAATATGGTATGAATTGTTTTGCTTTATTCAATATGTGTGTAATCATTTCTGTTAAGTAAATGTAACACTGCTGGACTTTGGCAGGCTCAGCACTGGCACAGTATTGTGATTATTTTTGTACTTGAAGGGTCAATCATCAAGGTCACTGATACTATAAATAGAAAATTGGTCTAGATCATCATGACAGTTCATGTGGACTGATCAGTCTCAAACTTAAACACTGATTTCTGATCAGAGTGCTGGCTTTGGATTGATTTTAGAGGTCACCAACAAGGTCAATTATACTATAAATAGAAAATTGGTCTTGATCATCATTCTGGACAGTAATGACAGTTCCTGTGGACTGATCAATCTCAAACTTAAACACTGATTTCTGATCAGAGCAAAAGGTCAAACATCAAGGTCAATATGACTTTAAGCGATACCCTGTTTTATGTGAACTTACTAGGTGTAGGTGACATCCTAACACAGCTATATCATGTTACCCAGGCCGATACTAATCCATACAGCCATACATACAGTGTAATGTTTTGTTCATTGAATTAAAATAACATGTTGTTAAAGAAAGAAAACCTTCATTCTTTGTCTAAATAATTTTATTTTTGTTACAGGAGACGGTATTAGGAATCTCGTCCTTATCTGCTCTAGGGTCTGTTGGTGCTGTTCTGGAGATAGTCCTAATCCTGTATCCTTTCCATCAGAAAGCTTCATAACCACAGATATATATAAATAACTCTATTAAAGATCTTCGTTTAAGAAGAGATAATCCAATATTCATTGATTTAGTACAGTACAGATTTTTGCAAGAAACCATGTTTAATGCATAAAAAAATTATAAACTCAACATCACTGTGTTCATGCAAGTCTGATGGAATTGAAATAAGTTTGTAAGTTCATGTGATGGTGTTCTTAGTTTGAATTGAAGCCAGATCCTGTGTCCTGTGCAGAATATTTACAGAACTTCATCTCGAAAATAGTCGAGATTTTCATTATTTCTGATTCTTTAGGATTTCCTTGACGCAGTCTAGATATGTTATGTTTGCATCTATAGAGGGATTCTACTCTCTGCCATTCTTCCGGAGACTTACACCTGTGTCACATGATACGTCCATGGTTCAGATAATTGGCAATTGTGTTGTGCTGTTGATCCTGAGCTCAGCATTGCCAGTTCTGTCTCGGATCATGGGTTAGTACATACAATAACAAGGGAGATAAATCTACTGAATTTGAACTGATCTATCTAAATCAAGGCTTAACTTAAATAAGTACAAGGCTGTATATGTGAATTAATGAAATGAATTGATGTGGATTGAGTTTTGGAGGAGGAGGGGGGAGGGATAATGGTTGTTCTTTGAAGACTTTTCTATCATTTCTCAATTATTTTATTTAATATGTTGATTTTTCATTAAACTTCCCTGATCTTTGCATTGATGAATTCTTTTGTGCAGATTTTCTACTCCCCAAAGGGAGAGCATAAAGTCACAGCTTGGTCCATCCATCTGTCCATCATAATTTTGTCCAGAGCATAACACAAAAACTATGAAAAAGTTTCAACATAAAACAAATTACAGTAAGGAGAGGTGCAGTGCACAAGAACCATCACTCTTTTTTTTGTATAGAATTAGGAGTTATTGCCCTTTTCATAGTTAAATTGCATCTGGAGTGTTACTCTTAAATAAAAGAGGTATTAATATAAAACTTCCGAGGTAGATAGGTCTTAACGACTAGGATGGAATCATAGCTCTCTTATTGCCCTTTGTTATTTTTCATACTTAAGTGATCTTTGATGGTCTTGATATTGCAGGTATAACAAATTTTGACCTGATTGGAAACTTTGGCAGTATGGACTGGTTGGGTAATTTCTACCTTATTCTCACCTGCAATGCTGTCTTTGCCACTACAACGACCATGTGCTTGACCAACAAGTTTACTGGCACAGTGAGATCAGAGGTGTTTAACCGACTGTGGACCTGGGTGTCTCAGAAGGAAAAGAAAACCAAACCCCAAAGCTACACATCCGTCAAGGAAGATTAGTTGTGATAAATTCCCATTTGTGGACAATTTGGACATATGACAATCGACATGCACGGCAATCTACACAAGAAATCCCACAGAGACCATTATCACATAGTGATGTATTCCCCCACAGCATAACAACAAAGAGGAATTCCACACAGACAGGATCACTTCCTATGAGGAATTCCTTCTAATTAAGCTTTGTCTACCAATTTATAGTAAGTTGTACTGATGATTGTACAATCAGTAACAATAGTAAAATATTAGATTATTGGTGTTAAGAGTATTGGGCTAGTGATCACTGTCAGTAATTACTGGGAGAATTAGACTAGGGGTCACTGTCAGTAATTACTGGGAGAATTAGACTGGGGGTACTGTCAGTAATTACTGGGAGAATTAGACTAGGGGTACTGTCAGTAATTACTGGGAGAATTAGACTAGGGGTACTGTCAGTAATTACTTGGAGAATTAGACTAGGGGTACTGTCAGTAATTACTGGGAGAATTAGACTAGGGGTACTGTCAGTAATTACTGGGAGAATTAGACTAGGGGTACTGTCAGTAATTACTGGGAGAATTAGACTAGTGATAACTGTCAGTAATTACTGGGAGAATTAGACTGGGGGTCACTGTCAGTAATTACTGGGAGAATTAGACTGGGGGTCACTGTCAGTAATTACTGGGAGAATTAGACTAGGGGTCACTGTCAGTAATTACTGGGAGAATTAGACTAGGGGTCACTGTCAGTAATTACTGGGAGTGTTGGACTGGGGGTCACTGTCAGTAATTACTGGGAGAATTAGACTGGGGGTCACTGTCAGTAATTACTGGGAGAGTTGGACTGGGGGTCACTGTCTGTAATTACTGGGAGAATTAGACTGGGGGTCACAGTCAGTAATTACTGGGAGAATTAGACTAGGGGTACTGTCAGTAATTACTGGGAGAATTAGACTAGGGGTACTTTCAGTAATTACTGGGAGAATTAGACTAGTGATCACTGTCAGTAATTACTGGGAGAATTTTACTGGGGGTCATTGTCAGTAATTACCGGGAGAATTAGACTGGGGGTCACTGTCAGTAATTACTGGGAGAATTAGACTAGGGGTACCGTCAGTAATTACTGGGAGAATTAGACTAGGGGTATTGTCAGTAATTACTGGGAGAATTAGACTAGTGATCACTGTCAGTAATTACTGGGAGAATTAGACTAGGGGTCACTGTCAGTAATTACTGGGAGAATAAGACTAGGGGTCACTGTCAGGAATTACTGGGAGAATTAGACTAGGGGTCACTGTCAGGAATTACTGGAAGAATTAGACTAGGGGTCACTGTCAGTAATTACTGGGAGTGTTGGACTGGGGGTACTGGGAGAATTAGACTAGGGGTACTGTCAGTAATTACTGGGAGAATTAGACTAGGGGTACTGTCAGTAATTACTGGGAGAATTAGACTAGGGGTATTGTCAGTAATTACTGGGAGAATTAGACTAGGGGTACTGTCAGTAATTACTGGGAGAATTAGACTAGGGGTACTGTCAGTAATTACTGGGAGAATTAGACTAGTGATCACTGTCAGTAATTACTGGGAGAATTAGACTAGGGGTCACTGTCAGTAATTACTGGGAGAATTAGACTAGGGGTCACTGTCAGTAATTACTGGGAGAATAAGACTAGGGGTCACTGTCAGGAATTACTGGGAGAATTAGACTAGGGGTCACTGTCAGGAATTACTGGGAGAATTAGACTGGGGGTCACTGTCAGTAATTACTGGGAGTGTTGGACTGGGGGTACTTTCAGTAATTACTGGGAGAATTAGACTAGGGGTACTGTCAGTAATTACTGGGAGAATTAGACTAGGAGTACTGTCAGTAATTACTGGGAGAATTAGACTAGGGGTCACTGTCAGTAATTACTGGGAGAATTAGACTAGGGGTATTGTCAGTAATTACTGGGAGAATTAGACTAGGGGTATTGTCAGTAATTACCGTCAGTAATTAATGGGAGAATTAGACTAGGGGTACTGTCAGTAATTACTGGGAGAATTAGACTAGGGGTACTGTCAGTAATTACTGGGAGAATTAGACTAGGAGTACTGTCAGTAATTACTGGGAGAATTAGACTAGGGGTACCGTCAGTAATTACTGGGAGAATTAGACTAGGGGTACCGTCAGTAATTACTGGGAGAATTAGACTAGGGTGTACCGTCAGTAATTACTAGATTTGGACTGTGACCACATTCAGTTATACTACTGTTAGCTGTTTATTGATGATTACCGTGTTAATTACCATATAGCCAATTTTTTTTCATGGGTCAGAATTTTCACAGTGGTTACCAAAAAAGTTGAATTTTTAACCAATTTAATTTTTGCATTCTTCATGTAATAGGACGTCTAAATTTTTGCAACAATTGCTTGCAATGTAAAGTTTCAAATATGTCATCGCTGATTAATCAGACTAACACCAGTATAATTAATGAAAACGGAAATGAATTATGTTTTTATCAGCATGTATTCTGTTTACCAGGTAACAAATCATTTCTGTCAATGTACCTTTCTAGTATTATTTTTGACTTGGAGACAGTTGATAAGACAAATGACATTACCAATTTGTCGTTAGACTTTAGTTACAGTATTATATCATGGATACTTTTTACACACTTCTTATTTCAAGGATAAAGACTTTTTCTATCACTTTACTGCTCTGCACAAAAAGTGAAAATATTGTCTCCATGAAAGTAACTGGTTATAAGGTTAATACAATGAAGCCTTTAGTGATCATGCTGTAATTATACAAGTGGTGAAGTGTCAAGCCTAGCAATGCAAATATTGATGTTATTTTTTATGATAAAATTGGTTTTATTTATGTATGGGATTTTTCTTTGAACAAAGAAACTTATTTATGCATTTTTTTTTATTTATTTATATATTTTTGTGGAATGTTTGTTTTTTTTTTCTTTATTTTTAAAATAAATGTTTTGTAATAGACATATGGGAATGAATTGGTTACAAGGGTTTGTAACAAAGCCATATAAAAAGTATGATTGTTATACATGTGTATTGTGATGGAAAGATCATTTGTACGGATGTGTGTAGTACTTTGAGGCTGCCCTGTTAGATATGGAGACATGATTATCTGTGTGATGTTGTTGCCCATTGGTAAATCAGTATGGAGTGGTGGTTAAATACACTGTAGGTTGGTTTTCTTCTGACAAAAAATATCTATAATCCATTCTTAAATTTTGATTGCCAATGTAACAAGTTTTCATTAATGCCTTATTGACATTGTAATCAACCTTTGACCCCTAATGTTGAGTGACTTGTATACTGAAGTACTGATGGCTAAATGATTCACAGACCAGGACACACAAAATGAATCAACTTCTTAAACACTGCAGGACACATTTTCATTGTCAAGGGAAGCAACCCTGAATCAAACACAAGCAGTTAAGTAAGCATTTCAATGGTGTGGCTTCACTGTCTGATTAACTATTGGCCTGACAGAATGACTTTTTCTTAATTATATGTGTGACCCTTCTGACTGCAGGCTCATGTGATCGGATATTTAACCAATATTAGAGTATAAATATATTCCTCATCCTACATTGATACTTTGTCATTATAGAATGTTAAGCGCAATTAGAAATCCAAGATGGCTACCATTTTTTTTAGCTTCTTTTCTTGCTTAGTATTTGTTCTGAAGAAATGGTTGGTAAGAAAGATGCGCTTTTGTTGTAGAACATTTTTTTCTTGATTTTATTCTGGTATTGTATTATCAATCTGAGATGAGTAGTAATTAATTTCTTGATTGTTGTTTGCTTAATCTATTTTATCATTAATGTAGTAAATCAAATACACCCAACGACTACTAGAAACTACTTATTTAACTATTTTCAGTAATCAAAGGCAACTTAGTTCCAAAATCAAACAAGAGCCTTACATTGCACAATAGAGAATTTCTTCATGGCGGTTCAGGTGACAACATAATTTCTTGTTGATTTTTGCAGTTTTGTGTACTTTGTATTGTTAAATAGCTATTATTTTATGTGCTTACATTTGGAACATGTATATAATGATGATGTCAACAAACCCCTCCATCAAACCCAAATCCCAAATTTACACCTAAACACACTCAAACCAGTCAATATGTTCAAATGTTTCCCAATTCAGAAAATAATTAACCACTATGTCAATATAACCTGTAGTTTCTTTCTCAGATTTTTTCTTTCAAGTGACTTTCCGTTGGCTTATAATGATAAATCTTGGTCGTAAATTATTAGAATTATACATGTACTACGCATACAAAGGATAAGACTCTTTCACTGTTTTAACATAAATCTAGTCTTGCCTTACCACATCAACAAATGCTTATAAGTAAGTGCCATTGATAAAGGCTGTAGTCCTACCATCTCTAAAGTTTTTCTCTCTAGTTTTATGTGTGTCATTGCTTGGCTAAATATTCTTGTTCTTGATTTTGAGAGAACTATGAGATGGAGAAGCATGTTAAAAGAGGTGTAGTGTATGACCACTATATAGTTTGAAAGGTCTTAATTTATTTTTGGTTTTACAAATTTAATTACATAGTAACTTTTTAACGATTTAACAAAGTGATTTATTGGCATGTCCACAATAATTACTATATAAAGCAGTGTAAAGAAATGGCAATCACTGCAATCATTTCAGCGTGAAATGTACTAATATTATCAGTAAAGTATAAACAGTATGTAGCAGAAGTAAAATAGAAAACAGAGGATTATACCCTAATACAAGAGTACCTGTTTATAAATAGATTACCTGTTATCATTCAATATTGCTGTATTCTGCATGATAACTGAAAGATGAGAGGAAATTTAACCGGTTTCCTGTTTCACTTTATCAGGTTCTGTTTGGTTTACACTATGTGTATTTTTCTTGGAGATGTATGATTTATAGAAAATCACTGTATTACCTTGTGTAATCTGAATGTATCTTTCAGTTTTATCAAAAATTAGCTTTCGTAAATACAGTCTAGCTTAACTACAAAA